CAGCCGGTCCATGGGCGCCACGTCAGTCGGTTCCGGCTCGTCGGCCTCCTCCTGCGAGACGGACCGTACGCGTGCCGCGCCCGTCCGCTCTAGACTACCCCAGTTGTGCATGACCGCCGCGCGCAGCGTGTCGGCGCCGGCCGGATCGCCGGCGTCTCGCTTGCGCGCGGCGCCGGGACCGGGCCGGCCGCGCACCACGGCCACCTTCTGCTCGTGGTCGGGCCGCTCGGCGGGCGGCTCGGGCGTTGCGGCTGCCTCATCCGCCTCCAGCTGTCGGCCGCGCTCAGCCAGCTGGCGCGCGCGCCCCTCCGACTCGGCCACCTTGTGCAGCAGCTCCTGAAGATGGGTGGCGTTCTGCTCGAGGCTGCGCCGCGTCCCGGCCAGGTGGCTGTACTTGGCCGCCAGGCTGGGGTCCCCCGACTCCAGTATGCCACGCATCACCTCATCCGTCTGCTGGATGAAGCCGCGCAGCTGCGCCAGCCGCGCCTCCAGGTCGGCCCGGTCGCGGCGCGTGCTCTTGAGCAGTTGGCTGATGTTGGAGCTGAGCGACGGACTGTCGCCGCCGCTGGCTGCGTCCAAGCCGTTTTCCAGACTTAGTCCGTCTACAGCCGACGTCAGCCAGTCGTCCGCCATGGCAGCGGCACCGGCCTGCACAAAGCAGAAGTACAACTAGGTGGCTGCTCCAAAACGCAGCAGTAAAATAACACACTCATCATGTGTGCTCGTCTTAAGCAACACAGCCCTACAATTTTATAATGACTCATCTTTCTCAAAGTTCTTACGCAGTCGCATTAACCATGAACCGATGACTATCTTGTTAGCATATCATTCCAAGGAGCACTGTCAACAGAAGCTGTGACGTCACGGGCACATCGGGTGCAAGCGCCCTGCCGAGACCGAACAGGTCACACAGGTGGTGAGATCACGCCATGGCAGGGGGAATCACCGCGGAAGAATATCAATCAGCGCCGCGGAAGAATATCAATCAGCGCCGCCGACGCGATTGAGGTCAGGTGTGTGACCCGACTCGCCCGGACAAGCACCAACCGACGTCAGATCAATGTACGAGTTCTTAGCTGCGTTTGTTGCGGGCCCAATGCACTCGTTATGACAACAACTTGCACTCAAGAAGCGACCGCCTGCCGACAGGCAGAGAAAGAAATGAAGCAGACCCCTGCCAACCCCCCCCCCCCCCAAAAAAAAACACTCGGAGTGATCTCCACCCATAACGGATCCGACACAAGGAGAGGTGATGATTGAGTGCTGACATCCGCGCAACACTGCCACCCACAGCACTGTGCAGCAATGTACACATCGTGACGTAATCCAGACTGACCAAGATTCAAACACGTCCACCGCACACTACCATCCTGGGACAACAGACACCACCAGTGCCATGCAAAATTTCAGGTAGTTTCTTGTGAGTTCACTGGGTGCTGAATTTCTACACAGAATAGTTGGTAACACTTTGTGTGGGTTATGTGAATATGAGGGTAAGTAGGTTACTGACATGTCGATAGTCTGGCACGTACCTGCCTGCTTGGTACCACATCCTACAAATTACGTATGGCATCATCTAAAGCTACAAAGGTCATCATCTTACAGACAGATTGCAAACGTATTAGTACAATGGAATGAACTAATTGTTCGAGCTCTCGTCCTCGTCTGGCGGTTAGTTTATACAGCACGTCTCGATCAGCTAGTTCTCCAGCCGTCGTCAGATGCTCTCCCGTCCAGAGAAGGACGGCGCGGTGTTTGGCTTTCAAGCATATCAGTCGCAGCCCGAATTACGCCGCCGCCATTACTTCCAAATGTAGGTATTCTGATCACTCACAGCAACGCCCACCACGTGCACCCGCGAACATGCTGAAAATCACTCTGCAGGCTCTCATGCTCTCAATGAATCATCACTGCATGAACATATATAAATTGTGTGGCCTGACACAGATCGCTCGCGTGCAGAAGATCATCAGCTTTTGTTTGTCACTGGTCGCAGACGCTGCAATCCCTGATGGCATCCAGCTCAGCTGGCTGTGGGTGGCTGAATTAGAAGAGCACCACACTGCCTGTGCAGTCTAATTTACTGCCAGGACTGGTACTCCCAAGTACATACACAAAGCCATTGGTCCAGTGGCCCAGTAACCTACCAGCTACAGCTCACGAAGCGCAGGCCGCGTAACACAGCCTCGAGCCTGAACTAAAGCAAGCAGATGCCTCCATCCCTTCAATATACCATCATTAAACAGGGATTTGAAATGTGCAATGCTGCTAAGATGCCACTGAAAAGTATGTGTGTGCACTTTGTGTGTTATTAGTGATTATACAGTCTTTAGCCCCAACATACATTTTTTATTGATATGCCAGGTGACAAGTTACCATGTTGGAGACCCTTGACAAATATGCATCTGCAACTAAATTTGAATTCCCTACTTGGCATTACTGGGATATAAGCCAGTCTTCTGATCATGACTCCAGTGCTCCACAAACTGAGCTAACTGGAAAGGTCCTTCTCAGTAACACCAGCTGGCAGAGTACTGGATTAGCTATGCTGCAAAGAAAATCAAAAGACCCTGGTTCAGATCCCAGCAACTCCAAGAAGCGAGCTCGGGCTGTCACACACACACATGACTGAAAGTCAAATATCATCCAGTCCTCCTAAGGATTCAGTAACACCTGACAATAGCTGGAGAGGGAACTGGCCAGAATGTTGTGTGCATCCATACACCAGATCTATGATACCAGATACCAGGTGTGCTGTGTGCACACCAGATGAGGATGATATCCAAACAATTATTCCATACATGATGTGAGTACTTCAAAGCCAGTGATGTTACATGGTTTGCAGCTCTCTGGCAGTCAACAACAGAGTTCAGGTAAGCAGACTCAGCAACATAAAAAAATGTGCACATAGTGCCCCTGTGCTGATTGAGCTGACTAGAAACCTGAAGCTGTTGTTGCAAATGGCAGAGTGCACAAATACACAATTAACTTTTCCAAGTTGATTCAGCTGTCTATCAGGACACATGTTCAAGAAATGGCATGATAACACCCTTTTGGGAACATGCAAGAAATCTTTGGGAAGTGGATGATGTGATGAATAAAATTATGTACAATTTAGAATCAGTACCCTAAAAACTATGTACAATCCATTGTGACTGGAACTCATCCATTGTCAATCAAGATCACTGAACTCAATCAGAGTTGTCAAAATCCTAGGATGTTGATTAATTCCCTTACACCCTTGGTTTTTGTGGTTTTCAGATTTTTATTGAGGCTTTGGCTCAACAATTGTTTTGTTTTGTTGTTGAGGCTCTTGCTGTTCTCTACATTTAAACAGGTGTTATTGGTAGTCAAGATTTTGTGTAAAGTTCTTCAGCTTTTGCTGTAGCTGTTGAATGGTAGCTTCTTAGCTTAAAAACACAAACATTTTGGTGTCATTTAGCTAACAAAATTTTGCTGATCACCATCTTAACACCAAAAAAATGAATTAATCCCAATTGTGACCCACTGATTAAGTTCACCGTAACATATCACATTTTCAAAAGCATTCAGCATCCACATTTTCAAATGCAAAGTGAAGAACTGTTTAGAAATGACATGGTAGATCACAAAGTGATCACCTTTTCATAAATGAACCTGAATATCACAAAATAAATACCTATGTAAGATGTAAAATGTAAATCACAGATAACAAAACAAAATAAAAAGTGCTTAAGGCATGCCCAGTAAACTGTACATGCTAAGCCATTCATTTTCAGACAGAGCTAATTGCTGTGCAGCCCTTGCTGAAACTAGGCCTGACAGAACAGAGCTGAATAAGCTTAAAGCTGAACTTTGGGTGTAGGAACCATTCTGCAAAAAATCCATCTACCACACCATCTATAGTTTATTCCTTGAACATGAACCTTCCACTAAAGTGTGCCCAACTCAGCCCAGGCCAGCTGGCATTACATTTCCAATTTTAGTGTAAACAATGTCTCTGAACAATTTTGCTGAACCCAGCCTGGCAATATCATAATTCCTTGAAACTTGGGGTGTCAATATGCTGAAATCAGTAGTGACTGCGCAGAGAATCAGCATTCAGATTTAAAGAAAATGGTTCACATTTGAAGATAATGAAGAAGCATTACAAAGGATTAAATAAGCCTACCTATATCTATTAATATTCTTTTATGCAGTTGACTGCTCTGTATAACAAAATTTGTTTATTTAGTAGATATGCTCATCAATACATCACTGCTTGGTTGCATTAAGGCATGTTTGTGTAATATTGAGGTTGTTAAGCTTCTCCCTAACTAGGTGCATAATTGACAGCCTAGCACTCACTTGAATTATGAAAATGTTTACATGTGGTGGCTGTTCTTTAAATGTTTGCCAAGCCAAACATCCTTACATGCTCATATTTTGTTGTGGAGTTTTTGCACATCTATCCATAACTATCAAACCACACTACAGACTAGATCTCTGATGGTTACATCTCTGAAAGCGACTGGATCTGAACAGCTTTACTATCATATTTGCATATGCATTGAATGCTATATGACCTATGAGACAGGATTTGGTGTTGGTGTTTGGTGAGAAGGTGTTGCGAAAGCAACATGCACATCTGAATGGCCTTAAAACAGTCCACAGAAAATAACCTGCACATCTACACAGGCATGCAGCTTTGAAACTACACAGTTTTAGGTTTTAAGGACGGCAATGCCGTGAATTGCACCAAATGATATTTAAAACAACCATCTCAGTTCAAAAACCTGCGCAAACATGAAGCATTCCCTTAAAAGCCCGCAAACACTGGTATTGTTGACGCAATGCCACTGCTACACCACATGTGTCTGGCGTAAAGTGAATTGTTTCCGGTGTCATACGCACTGCTCAAAGCCGTAAGCGACCGGCCGCTGCAAACCCCAAGAGCGTGGGCATGATGGTAGGTCACAAAATCTGTGAAATACTGCAAAGACCTTGCTTGGTAAAAAGGAATTTGGTTGCAATTATCCTCAATCAGCACGACTGCAGAACAGTAAGGATGCCACCTGTACTAAGATAATTTCACGCACCCGCAGCTCCCCCTCTCCCCAGACGCAATCCGACGTCCACACGACCAGGTTGTTGTCACCCCAACGCCTCGAAGAGTGTTTATGCGATTCGGTCAAACGACGTCACCAGATTACATCTTCATGGCTCATTCAAGCCCCCTTTCGTTAAAAGTAAAGCTTTGTGGGTAATCATGTTAATTTTTAGGCTCTTGTATTCAAAGCTGGTGCTTTTTATTTTTATCACACTTTCTTCTTCTTTTCTAGTATAGCAGCGAATTAGTAAAACGCAATGAAGAATTGCAGTACTTTAAGTTTATTTTGCCGACAATTTTAACGGTTGCTCGGTGGACACCTATTTCCAAGGCCGGTGGATTTACCCTGAGGAAGACGGGGAGCCGTTGAGGGCCGCATGGTAGGTTCAAATTGTATTTGTTATTGAAAGCATCAAAGGTAATGCTTTTTTGAATCGATGTTTATTCATTCGTGGCGAAAACGGTCACGAATTTTACGGCCTGTTGAAGGCATGGCGTGATCTTTGCCCCGGAAAGAACCAATATGGGAGGAACACTTGGAGAGGGGCGAGATTTGTACCTCGTTCCTTTCCATGTACCGTCATAGAGTTGATGTTCGAGGCTGCCCGAAGTTTGGGAGCTGCTCCTGCAAGCCGCTGCTCGCGGTAGAACCACGGATGCCGCAGTTGATGGGTGGCGGTTTGTAATTGGAAGGAGTGAGCCATTAACATTTGAAAAACGACATTTCCATCATGAATCTGTGTCGATTGCCATGACATAGATAAATCGTTCTACATTTAGCACCAATGACAGGCAGAGGAGGGGTGGCGCAAGTTTATGAGCCCTTCTCCCCCTCAGGTGCAGAGGGTCCTGGAGGGCCCACCGGGGACGACGATCAAGGACCTGATTGGAGGGCCTAAAAGTCTGAAGGGCTGGATGGGGTCTTCAGGAGACCCGTCCGGCGGGGACACACTCTCAGATGACAGACAGAGGGCCCTGTGCAGTTACTGGGGACCCAACTGAGTTGATATAAGGGTGTATCTGTCAGTCAGGCACCACCTGTATGGCACGGTCAGGTCGGTCTCGGTATGGGTCTGCGGTCCCACTTCCCAAGCAGTTATGAAGCCAGGGCCGGCAATTTGCACTGGTTGGGAGCCCTGTATCTTTCAGGGGGCCACATTGTCTGACAGGGATTCCTGTGGTGGCAAGGGGTCCTGAGTCAGTCAAAAACAGGGTTTAATGGGGCCTGAAGAAGAGCCCTGTGACCCACTGATATCAATGACTGAAAGTCTGATTGCATGATGTAAAGGCCTGAAGGGTTGGCTGCTAGATTGCATGAAGGATCTTGCTTGTACAGCTTTGACTTAAGATACCAGATAGAGGGCCCTTTCCACCAACTGAGAGCCCCTGAGACAATGCTGGCATCTATGTCAACCAGAGACCTCCATTCGCCAAACAGCTGACTGTGAGGAGGCCCAGGGGGCCCATTTCCAAGTAGAAGCAAGGCCAAAGCTCATGGTTTGCATTGGTCTGGGTCACTGAAATGATACTATGGTCCCTGTGTTAGTCATGGGTCCACTGTGCCTAACAGGGATCATGTGTTGGCAAGTGGCCAATAGTCTGGTACTGGCTTACTTTAAAGAGGTGCTAAGATGAACCAAAGGGCACCTCAGGACCAATGGGTGGGGCACTGATTGGAAGGTTGAAGAGGTCAACCACCAGAAAGCCTGGAGGACTGTGCTGCTGGCTGATATGTGATGAGAGGCTCTATGATTTTCTCAGGTGTATCTTCTACACAATATTCAAAATTTCAGGGATTCTTTTGTACTATTTTGAATAATCTCAGTAAAGAATCACATGCTTCATTCAATGTTGTATTCTCCACTGTCATGTAAATGTGTTAGACATACTGAAGGATCACATTTTAACTAAACATGCTGAAATGTCTGTCATACTTCTTGGTCATTTGTTTGCTCTGCTTTGTTCACCCTTTGCTCTTACTGTGATTTTTTTGTGCAAAACATAATTAATACAAGAAGTATGAGATGAATTACAATACTTTGTTAGCAAAAGTAGGGGCATCCAACATAGATGTGTCATGTATTTACCATTATATGGCCCACATCATAGTAAAGTCCTTGGGCTTCTTGAACCCTGCCATTGTTCCCATATTTCACAGGTGTTCTGACTGCTGAAATGCCTCAGATTTGTTCAGAATCTTGAACAGTTTGGGAAAATCTGCAGTACCTTTGTAAGAGTGAATCCTTTTTGGGGGCATTGGGACCATCAAATTCCAGGCAACCTAAAACCAAAATTTGTGTATATCACCAAACTCATTGTCATGCCCACAGTTTCACACAACTCTAATTTACCATTTGTTTTGTTCACAACCAAAAAAACATCATTTGAGATAAGTTTAAACCTGGGAGTGGAGAATGGGGTTGGCTACAATATGGTGGTGCCCAGCAGTTATGTATTGGCTTTGTGTTCAAACAAGACTATTATACCATATACTGCCTTCGAAGATGTGTGTGCACTTGTATGCATGTGTGTCTTTCTATTTGTCTTCTGTTATATAATGCTAATGTGCAGGTTAAACACTGTGCAGTAAGGACCTGAAATTTTTCATAGCACTCATGTATGGGAATGACAGTGCAGGTGTGAGAACTTATTAGCGCTTTGCTCTGGCGGGGAGATCCGTTTGTAAGCCCATGGGGTTTAACATTATTCATGTATGTGGCATAAGAAATTGAGTGATAACTAAGACGTCGAAAATATATTCACTTTACTGGGCGAGCAACGCTGAATCTTCGGATTCTTACCTGAAGCACGCCGAGTTACGTGACTGGCGACAGCGCACGAAATGTAGGATCGTAGATCGGGAACGATCGTTGGGGCTATATGTGTAGATAACTTATTCGATGATGCCATACGTTATCGGAGACATTGCAGCAGTGAGTTGTCGACAAGCTTGAATTGTGGGCGAAAATGACCCTAGAAGTCGACGCGCCCTAAAACCCCAATCATCATCAAGCTGAGTTGTGCATTAGGCTGGAACTGTGCGATATAGGAAACGTTGCTACAGTGCTAAGATGGTCAGCAATACAACGACTGAGGTAGAGATAGCACGACTGGCTTGAAATTTCTGGCATGCAAAAGGAAGATAACTGAGCACAGGCTGTTGTGTGAACCATGCTCGTCCGCATTTATACGCTGCATTATACAAGATAGGCTCGTTTTCTTAACTACGCATTCCAGTGGTTCCAGTCCGCACTACATGGTTTGAAGGGGCTCCAAGGATGGTTTGTAGTCATTTAGCACGCCCCCTCAGCATTAACGCGCTTGTGTTTCCCCCGGTGGACTCGGCGGTGGGGGCATTATTTTATCAAGTGGTAGAGGCAAGGTAATCACGGTGCGCGGAGACACGCACATAGATGCCCCGAGGACGCGCCTCCCTTTCCGAAATGTATGACATCGGATTAAAGGGTGCACGAAACATGACGAAATAAGGGGTCCCACCTTCGTTGCACTGATTGTTACATCAGACGTGTACGATTTTATCTGTAATACCCGTTTTTCAAAATCATTTTGAATAGCTCATAATTTTGATTTGAAGTAGCCGACTAGCGGTACAAAGATAATTAAAAGGCGTATTCCTTGTTATGTTTTGACGGTGCTTCCCTGGCACTACTCAGTGCTATTATTAGACTAAACTGGTGCTGAGGTTTCATTCGAGTGTGTTTTTGAAACATGCCCGAAAGGTGGGACACTCCCTTTAATATGCATGTGACTTAATATTAATAGGTAAAAATTTCAGACAAACACGCAAAAATTAGTTCAAGGACGCACGATGTTATGTTGCGGCACCCAATGAATTTTGACATATTGCGGCGCACTGAAGTCGCTTATTAGTGAGCATGTTTGTATTGTTCCGCCCCCCCCCCCCCCTTGGGATGTGAAGAAGTAAGATGTATATTTGGAGCCATCGCACAAAAACGGATGACGTGACTGTGTTGACCTATGCCACATGTGCAATTGTGCAAGGGTACTTAACAGCCATTGTTTTGAGTGCATTTACGTGTCCGAAAGGATTCAAGCACTAGCTTACTGTCGGTGTTTTGATACTGAGAAGTAAACAGAGACCGGCATAGGCAGAACTGCATACTGACCGTGACACGCAGCGCTGTAAAAAAAGGCTTGTTCGACAACCCATGACACGACAGCCAAAGGAAGCAGGCACGGGCGGTGGAAGCGAAGGGGGGGGGGGGGTACAGGGAAGTTGCCCCCGTTGTCCCCCCCCCCCCCGAGAAAACGCAGTCAAAATATTGCCTAACTGTCGTAAGAGTGGTTAGCTTCATCCCCGATGCACAAAATCTAGCATAAGCATTATGACGCTGCGTGGAAAGTACCAAACGACAACTCTTGTTTGCCTTCAAAACCCATCAGACGATTCGTCGTCACCAGAGGCAATTGCACTTAAGCCGGCATATTCAAGGACATCGTGACATATCCCACTTGCAATTGGATGTCCAGTTCGACATGTTTGAAACCATACACTTTGCCGTATTTTACGCGGTTTGTCTTTCTTGCTTACGGTCGCAGTTGTTTATGAAATTGAGCCAATCAAGAATGGAATGCAGCAAAACTGTCACAAACATTGCATCTGTGGGCCATATCCCTGCACAAATTTCGGCACGGATCTACGCGAATGAAATTCCAGTTGACAGTGGTGAACACGTACAATTAAGATCGACAACACGCGGTGTTATTCGACGGTACACAAGCAATGTGGCGGACCTGTCTGATCTTGCTGTCTGACTTGTGGAACACAGACCTGTCTGATGTTTGCAAAACAGTTTCTTGTTCATTGTTTTATTTTTTAGCGTTTTAAGGATAGCTGCCTTACCACAGAATGCTTGGCCCCATACCGCATGCGTGCATTCACGGCGACTAGGATCTCTGCCGAGCCGTTTGACAGATGTGATCGGGCCGAGCGGCCAGCTAATCAAGGTTTTCGTGGGAGGGAAAGGGGGATATTTCGCGTTTGTTTGGGGGGGGGGAGCTTTGGCAGTCACTGGTGGGAACACCCTCTCCCCATCAGCGTACATGTTGAAGAAAACCCTTATGCTCCATACAAACTGACAATATGTGCACGGCTCTTGTTCATTTTTTACTGTTTGGTATGTGGTAGCCTTTGCTGCAGCAGCACTGAAATAATCGTGATAAGTTACAGCTGTTTTTGTTTATCGTGATGATTGCCCTGACATGCCCAGGATTGCTTCATTCTCACATCATTCAGCGAAATTATTCTTCAGGGCATGTCATAAGATTTGTATGTGTGGCTGCTAATGACATGACGAAGAGTGTCCAGCTCTAGCGGCACTCATTCTGCCACATGTATACCCACCCACCGCCCACTACAGTCGGATTCATCGTTTCGGCTGGATGTCCACAGGTTGCCGCTGGCAAGGCCGGAATGGTGCGCTGGCGATCTGAGTACCGGCGCACGCACCGGGGCGTGCCCCCGGACCAGCTGCTGGCCGTCTGGCAGGCCAACCTGGCCGAGCGGCGACAACTCCGCTCCGTCATGATGGCCTCGCACTTCGACCTGGGCAGCTGTGCGACCAGCAGCTCCAACAGCAGCTCCGATGACGAGCTTCCGCCGTCGCCACTGCGGCTGCGGCACCTGGCGCTGACGTCGCCCAAGCGCCAGCCTGCCGCTGTCGACGCTAAGGGCGTCCGGTTTGGCTCGGTGCCCGCACCCGAGGACGGCCGGTCACGCTCGGCCGCCAGACCGGGCTCCGTGGCTGCGCACGATCCCAAGCAGGCGACGCCGGCCGAGACTTCGGCAAGCGGTGCCGAGCCGTCATCGGACGGCGCTGGTAACGGTGACCACGGGCGGACGAACGTGTCAACGTCTGTCGACGTGCCTCCTACCGGCCGTGGGAGGCGGCGCTCCCGATCTCGCAGTCAGCGGCGGCCGCACACCGCCTCGCCGTTCGTCGCGTTCGGCCAGGGCGAACGCGGCTGCGACGCGGCCGCCCGGCGCACCTTCAACGTGTTGGCGCCGCCGCCCGAAGTGCACGAGACGGCGCGCGCCGCCGCCGACCGGCGCCAGGCGACGGCGGACGAGCGGGCCCGGCGCGCTGCCGCCCTGGACGGGCTGCTGCAGGCGCAGCGGGCGCCACCGCGCCGCTCCGGCCTCTGGACCACCGAGTACCAGCGTACCTTTTGTCAACCGGTGCAGCGCTGGACCGAGGCGATGCTGCGCGACCGTTCGCGCGAGGCACTCTGATAGTAGTGTGGTGCCGTCAGCCGGCACGAGTCAGCCGGCGCTTGTGGCCTGCACTGACGGATGGAGCTAGCGGGCACCAGTGTGCTGCAAGGACTGGTGTGGTTCATTGTGGTTAAACACTCGGTTTGGACCAAAGGTGAATGAGTCCGTTTATTTTTTTGTATGGCTTTAGCCAAACTCTAAATGAGCCTCTTCGTTCGTTATGCACCGTAGGTGGTAACGGTTGAAGCGTGCTGAAATGCGTAAGTTAGACATGTTTTGAATGGAAACAAGGTTGCTTTGCTGACGATTCTTAATTTTGATACGTGTATCATAAAAACGATGTTAATCAGCTGTGTGTTTACGTCATGCATGTCATGCGGCATTTGTCTGGTATAGTTAACTATCAGACAGCCTATAGTAATCACAGCATCACAGAGGGATGTGGAAACTTTCAAGTTGTTGGTGTTATGCCGTTTGTATCTTAAAACATGTTGTGCAAGGGAGGAATGTTAATGTTTCAGACAGGTTTATTTACACATGCCTGACAACCGTCGCATGCTGCGAGTAATGATGTGTCATTCACTCAGAGGCTGTGCTCTCACTAGAGGAGATGTACTCTCTGTCATTGCTAGATGTTGTGTCGGGGCGGGGCCGCCAGTGCTCTTCCTTTGTCCTCTCGCGCATGATCGCTGCCTGATTGAGTGACGATCTCGTTATTGTTGCGCTGACCGTCACTGAGAAGCACACAGAGTTGTGTAGTGTGGCCCGTTTCGCGCTGGGACTGCCAAAACAGAGCTGACGTAAGCAAAGCATAAGCTTCCGCAAAGGTAAGTTGGTTTCTAACTTGGTCGAATTGGTGTAGACATTGGTGTTGAATCGATCATTACGGCTTGTTTGACTATCGTTCTTAGTCCTGTGACAGTGACTGCAAAGGTCTGGTGGGATGAAACCTTTTGCTTTACCATCTTACGTGGGACGCGGAACTTAACATCGCCTTATCCCAGCGCGGTGTTCTTGTTTAGCCCGCTGTGTTCTTTATGAGTTGTGTCCAGCTGCGCTCGCAAATGAGCCAAATGCAGTTTTGCTCTTTTGAAGGTTGACATCATCGGTGGTGTATATGTATGCAGGTGGCGCGAACAGGGATTAGTTTTGGAGCTTCCATAATGTGCCTCATTCCACTGATGTGATATGTAGTGCTCATCGCTAGGCATTTCTAGTCGATGTCCAGGACTTGTGCTCACTCCATAGCAATCTAATACAGGACACTTAATATACCGCTGGTATGCATTAGGTGTCATGGAATGGAAGGAAGGATATGATAAAGAAGCATCTTTACTGGAGGAGGGGGGGGGGGGGGGGCGCCTCCGTGGTTTGGGGGAAAGTGCAAGGATTTCTGGCCGACGGCACGCGTCCCATCGCCGACGTGCTGTCTGGCCCCACTGGGGGGAAGGTCAGCCGCCTGACTTGCCAGTCAATAAGTGAGTAAGGAGCAATTGGGGACCCAGAGCGGCTGCATCGCAGTATTATGCAGCAAGGAAACTCTCCTGGGTCCTGTATGACGGAGCAATAGAGGCGAAGCCACCCGATGGGCCGTGCGGCTGGTTCAGGTCTTGCGCTTTGGTTAGCAGCTCCTCTTAACCCAACGGTGCTGAAACAAGTCGTAGTGCATTTATTTCGTAGGTCATTTGCGTTGAGATTGGCTGAGGGTCAACCGCGATTGATGACGTCACCAGTGCGTACGCCGGCTCGATAGTGGTGCATTCCGTAGGGCTCGGTGCGTTATCGCCATGCGCTCTGCCAAGTCAGCCAGGTGACATTGGAGTCAGGTCGGTTTGAAGTGCAGACTGACTTGAGCTTCAGACCGGTGAGGTTCAGGGTGAGCCTCACCAGTCGAATTTGGCAGATGGGTGCGGCTGCAACAAGTCCACAGATTTGAAAGACTGGGCCTGGGACCGAGTCCGAAGACGTTGAGGATCGGTGCATCAGCTTTCTCGGGACTGTGCGGGAATAGCACAATTGGAAAATGTACCACGTCTCTCCACAAAAGCCGTTGTGGAGAGACATGGTAAAAGGTTGCGATCAGCCATAGATAACCTTAACCGAGGAATGAGGGTCACGGTCGCCCTAACATCCTTACGCCGCACTCTTCATGCCCGCTGGATACCTAAATAAGACGGTAGTAATAGCCTCATTCCTCGGGGAAAAGTCAGAAGAATGGAGATATAATTTCTTTTCTCCGGATTTTTTTCCGAGGAATGAGGCTCTTACTACTGTCTTATGTATGTGAACAATGTTCCTCGCAAATGCGCCCAACAACTTGCATAATTTTGAACCGAATAGTAGGCTGCTGGGTACCCTTATCCTAATCTTTGTTTTGAAACTGACGCCCTGTGGGTGGGACTTCTGAGCTTCTGGACTTTTGAACTTCCGGATTTTGACTACTTTTCAAGGTACTACATGTCGTGACAGCATTTTAGATCTATCAATCCAAATGCCTTGAATGCCTGGAAAAAATCGTGCGACAAAAACCTTACAACATCGGTTTCACTTCTACCTGCAAGAAAACAGGAAAATTTAACCCGTCACAGACTGATGACGCTCCCCAGACGCAGGGCTCCGGCTGGCGCCGTGGACGGCCACCGCCGTAGCCCGGCTACTGCCGCCCACTGACGGTGGCCGCCAGCCGCGTCCAGCCGCGTGCCGCCGGCACGGCCTGGGGCACGAGCCGCCATGGACCATGAACTTTGTCTCACACCGGCCGGGCGCATGGCAGTCACCGCCCGGCTGCTGCAGAATCACATCCAGAAAACTAAACTGGCAAGTGGCGTTGGAATGAAGAACTGCTTTTGGCTGGATGCCAAGCGGAAGGCTACAATTAAATCAACTCGTGCTATCCAGCGAAAAAAGTGCGTTGCCCGAAGAAAGGTGGCGTAGGCTCCCTAAAGACCTTTTTCAAAATGACTTAAATTTAGATGCCTCATTCTGATTACTTTTACATAGATTTTTGACTGTTTTAAGCGACTTATCTCGATTATTAATGACATATGACACTTATCTCAATGTCTTTTCAAAGAAAATTTATTTCAAAAGTGATAAGTGTAGCTTGTTTCTCGAAGGAGATGTGCTCCAAATAGATTTTGTTTGCTCTCCATCCTATCTACATCACTCTGAAGTGCATTACCATCGTACTACTTGCTTTTGCAATGTAAACCTAGGTCAAAGAGATAAGCTTTCATGTTTGTTGCCGGATTTGACCATTTGAAGGTCATATGCTGGTATCCTAATAACATATCTTACAGTCCCAGAAGATCTTGCTTATTCTGTTCTCCAATGATGCTTGTTTGGACACACAACACCGTGGTGTGGTCTAAATCATGTGCTACGGTTATGGAGCCATCATTGCTTTATTTGCGCATTTGATCTAAAGACATGAGAATCGTGATCGGAGCAGGAGATGGACGAAGTGCCGTACAGATGACAGGATCTAAAGAACCGGCATATGACGCAGACACGCCAGATTTCCCAAACGGCTCGTTCGATCACCTTGAAACTTTCACCATTGACTCCGTGCATTGAGGTGAGTCGTTGGTAGGTAATATTGAGGACTAACCTGAGGTCAGACACGTAGAAAACGCGAAGGGAAGGTTTTACATGCAAGCGCAGACAACTCAAACTCAAAGCCTACTCGACCGAACACTGAAACCTTCACCACTGGATGCCTCATGCCTGGTTCCCTACCACAGTCCCAAATTTGGTGCCCCCAGGTCAGGTCAAAAGTCGTCAAATTTCACGAAGTCCAAAACTGAGGTGTTGCGCTGAAAATCATGCGCTGAACTGGGCATGGCATCGCCACGATCAACATCTCCGTTGAGGATAAATTTAATCTCATAATGCCAGCCTAAGCAAGCTGCACATTTTCTTGGGAATAAACATAAAGAAAAAGGCATAATCGTAAGTGGTATCATACTTGCAGCTTCAACAGAGAATGAGGGTAGGTGGCGTCCTGAATGGTAAGGTTTACAGGAAACTATCGGCGTGGTACATTCTGAGCTATAGGTGGCCGGCAAGCAAGAATTTTGGATTGTGTGAAATTTGATGACTTGACCTGACCTAGTGTCACCAAATTTGGAACTGCAGTACTTAACCAGGTAAAGGGCATCCAATGGTGAAGGCTTGGTAGCGTCCGATTTGGCAGGTTCTGAGCTGCATGCCGTCTGCAAGCAGGAATTTGGGACTTCATGAAATTTGACGAATTTTGACCTGACCTAGGGTCGCCAAATTTGGAACTGCAGTAGGGAATTAGGTATAGAGCGTCCAGTGTTGAAAGGTTCACAGTGCTCGGTCCAGTAGGCTCTGGGATATGAGTTGTCTGCATTTGCATGTTAAATTTTCCGTCGCGTTTTCGAGGTGCTTGACGTCAAGTCACGTCTCGATATTGCCTCCCCATGACTCACTTCAATGTACGGAATCGATAGGTGAAGGCTTCAAGGCGATCGGACGAGCCGTTTCGGAAGACTTGCGTGTCTGCGTAATATGCCGGTTTTTTAGACCCTACGCGTGCAGATCTGGGTTGGTGCTATGGCCTAGCATGCTTCAGAAGACGTGGAATGCCTACACTCGTTCTCCGCCGGCGCGACCATGGGCACACGATATCCCTGCTGGGGCACCATCGGCGGCCAATGTGAATCGGCCGCCGACCATCATCACTCTTTTGTACATATGAGCCTCTGACGGCTTACTGCTAAATGCAGCCGGCTTGGACATAGCGCGGTGGGTGGTAAATCACAGCTCCGGAAAATACTTATCGCGAACAAAGAGGACGACCGTGTGCATTTGATCGCACTGCTGGTGAAATATCAGCTGGCGTTGCAACGGGTTTGCCGGCCAAAAACATCCAATTCATGCGGCTGACTCCTGGGAGCCTGTCACTCAATGCTGTTGGGACGGGCACTGCGCCGATCTGCAAAGGTACGACGGTAAATTAAAAGTACTTGAAGTCTTGTGAGGCGGGTACGATCGCGCGCCTGCAATGTCTACGGTACGTCATCGCCGGCAATACAAATGATTTGTCGGTCAACGCCGCCAATGTTCTTCATGCGACTCCCTGACGGCGCATCGCCGAGTGCAGACTCCCTGACGGGGCATCGCCGAGTGCAGACTCCCTGACGGCGCATCGCCGAGTGCAGACTCCCTGACGGCGCACCGCCGAGTGCAGACTCCCTGACGGCGCATCGCCGAGTGCAGACTCCCTGACGGCGCATCGCCGAGCGCAGACTCCCTGACGGCGCATCGCCGAGTGCAGACTCCCTGACGGCGCATCGCCGAGTGCAGACTCCCTGACGGCGCACCGCCGAGTGCAGACTCCCTGACGGCGCATCGCTGAGCGCAGACGTCATGCCCATAGAGTGACGGTCATCCTGCGGCAGCCTGCGAAAATTAGTTTTAATCGCAAGAGAGGAGTTCGACATTGTGCACTTAATAACAGTGCTGTAGGAGTTTCAACTGAAATTGAAACCATGCTGGTCTGCCAAAAGCATTCATTTTGTTCGGTTGGCACCCTGACCACCTGTCACTGAATGCTGCAGGCGGCCGCACCGGTGATTTGCAAAAATATTGCGTCCACCATGTCACTGCGGAAGCGCTATCGACCACCAATTTGAATCGGTCGTCGACCGACATTACTTGATTTTCACAGACGACCCGGGGTGAAAAATCTCGTTTTTTATCACGGACCAGATTAAAAACAGTCTAAAGTGTTACCTGGAGCCGAGTCCAGCACAAACCGCCGCGACACCTCTCTCATAAAATGGCTGGAGTAAGTAAGTGCTTTCGATTTACTTGAAACTTCATGTTGGTGAACGGGCGTCCAGAAATTACGGCAAATAATTTTGAAAGATGAAAAAATTGTCTGATATGAACTAAGCTTCGCAGCTGTCGCGTGGCGGGGGATGCAATTTCAGAGACATCTGTTGACGTAGCTTTGTACTATTTTCAGGTCACAAGTTCGCCAAATGAGGCAGCATACCGTGATCTTGTAGTGTCCGAGGCTGTATGGAATTCGGAGGCCGCAACGTGTTCCGCGACACGCTGGACTGGACTCTCCACTGAATAAGGAGCTACACTGCTGCAAGCACTTAACATTGGATGTAGCTGCTTTATCTATTAATTTAAGAACGTCAAATTTTGATGCCTTGCATGCTTAGCCCACCGCATTTCATAGCGATAAGACGTCTACTGTTGTCTTAGGATTATGTTTCTTGCTCAAAATGTTCACCATGACGACTTAAGCACACAATAATGCTGTTGGACAAATTGTTCACAACACTCACCACTGAGAGATGGACATCGGTGGAAACTTGTATTCTATTGCTACGTTTTAATTACAACCCAAGCCGTGCCCTATGCGGATGCCTTAAAGAACCGTCAGCGAGCGTGGGCATGTTCACGAATGAGATTTATGGGAACTGGAACGGCAAATTGCTAACCAATGTTCGGCAAAAAGTCCATGTTTTTCAGCGGATGTATTGGCACAAAAGAGCAGCACATTGATGGCAAAAGCACTTCGACATATCTGGCTGTGTGTTGGTCCAGGAATTTCATGCCAGACTGACACATGGACACGTGAAATGATGCGTTCTGTAATGGGTCAGGACATACATCACGAACAAATCCATCATGCAACAATGTTTGCGCCTGCTTTACAATGACTGACCGCAAAGTACAAGTCGCAAGGTACTACTTGCATCACAACAAAGTCTGTGACTAATCTTGAGATATCGCTAAGGCCCTTTTTCCTGCGAGACCATATCATTCTTAGTTGGGATTTGGTAAGGAGTCGCATTGACCCCGCCCCGGTCTGCACTATGAACAACGGATAACCCGAGCGAAGTCGAGTTACAAAACTACAGCAGCGTGCCATGAGGCCCATCCTCCGCGCCGACACCGCCCAATAACCCGAGCGAAGTCGAGTTACAAAGCTACAGCAGCGTGCCATGAGGCCCATTCTCCGCGCCGACACCGCCCAGGGCTATAATCTCCCCGAGTCTGCCAGTACTGGCACTGTGTAACTACAACAGCGTGCCATGAGGCCCATCCTCCGCGCCGACACCGCCCAGGGCTATCATCTCCCTGAGTCTGCCAGTACTGGCACTGTGTAACTACAGCAGCGTGCCATGAGGCCCATCCTCCGCGCCAACACCGCCCAGGGCTATCTCTCCCTGAGTCTGCCAGTACTGGCACTGTGTCCTGAAGGACAGTTTTCTAATGACGTGGTCACATTTAAAGGGTTAGAGGGCATAGACTGTCTTTCCACAACACAGATGCCGGGATTCTTTTGGGTGGGAAGAGCGCAGGAATAGTTGTTTAAAAGTACCAGGACATCCATTAAGCTTAACACTAGGTCCAGTTCAGATGATATGAAAGAATAAAAACTTTTGAAAAGAGTCTCCTGGCAGCTAAGAAACACAATTTATCACTTGCTGGCGTGTCATCCTGAGGTTTTCGAGGAAAGGTGGCCATTGACCACTACGCTGACCGGCCGGCTTTCCACGGCTGGTTTGAAAGACGGTCATTGTCCACCATTATTCCCGCAAAGTCCTGAGAAACAGTACAAAGTCTAAATCAACGACCAAATTCTCAAAGAACTTATTGAAAAACAGCGCGCGCTTTGCATTCAAACTCATTGGACACAAGCCATCTGCTGAAGATCCGGAAGATGCTGTGTGAGCCAGACGAGTATCCTTTAGAGCTACGCTGAAGAACCGGAAGATGGTGTGTGAGCCAGACGAGTATCCTTTAGAGCTACGCTAAAGAACCGGAAGCTGGTGTGTGAGACAGACGGGTATCCTTTATAGCTACGCTGAAGAACCGGAAGATGGTGTGTGAGCCAGACGGGTGGTCTTCAGAGGTACGCTGAAGAACCAGAAGCTGGTGTGTGAGCCAGACGGATTTAAAGCTAGGTTATTCACGAAATCGTCAAAATGATCCCGAGCTAATGCCCGGCATCTCGGAAGTGATGGCCCATCCATCAATCAAACACCTTCTCAAGTCAAAATGGCGTTTTGGGTGTGGCGGTCCGTATTACACCATATTCAACTTCAAGTAGTTTTACAAAATGCTATGAGAGATAGTTGACATTTAAGGTAGGTTTACGTTTCCGTGTGTGCCCATGTGCAGTACGTATTTCATGGCGCGCACACATTCTGAAGAAACACAAAAGTATTTCGTTGCGATCAACGGGAAAGCTGAAGGTTGAACTGTTTCAAACCATGGGTTTATGCGAGTTGCCAGTTAAGTCATGCTCACGGAACAAGGCTTTCTCCCATTCTGCCTGCTAAGTAGACCTGAGAATTGCCCGCTTAAGTGCTGAGGTAATTCTGGGTAAAGACTTGGTCTGGCCTCACACAGGACTTGAACCTAATTGAAAATATTCGGCCACTGTGCAGATCTGTCTGTTTTGTACCACACTTGCCTCCAGCGGCGTCCGAATGGTGGGACGAGTCTAAAGGGCACGCTATGTTATCGCATCGACTGTTCTGCCTGGCCTGGCGGTGCTGAGACAAACGATACGTTGGTGCTTAGCTCTGCAAGTTGGTGATATTGCTAGATAAGGAGAGGCATGCTTGCATATTTCCTCCAAACAATCCAAAAAGAAATAAGCGATGTGTTTTTTCCATCACAAGTGGCCATTCACGTTGAAAATGCGCACCCCCAGGTATGTTCACGGCATTTGGCCTGGGTGCACTAAACCAGAACGGCACAAGCCAATCTCAGGGTTAACTGGATCTCAGGATAAGTAGAAGCACCTCACCGCATGCAGCACCGCTGCAGGTACAGCCCTCAACAGTAGGTTTGACCACATTATGTGTTAATGTGATTCATTGCAGCACATGCGGGTGTAGTATTAATTTCCACCGTGCTCATCAATCTTCCGGCACGGTCTTCTGAATGTCTGCGCAGTGGACCTGATGAACTTGTTTGCAACTGAAACATGCAGGAGCAAACATTAGTTATCGTACATTACAATTAGCCTTGTGTTTTCCATCCTGGTCTGTGGTTGGGCTCGAAGAGTTTACTGTAATTTGAAGCTTTGGTGATGTGCAGCCGTCCGCGGTCCCCAAAAACACATTCGGAAGGAGTTCAGATTGTCAGGCTCTCAGTTCGCCCCCTCGTCGTCCCGTTTAACTTTCGTAAGTCGACGTTGCAGCCCTTGTATTTGTTGGGTTGCGAAAGACGTTTGGCGTAACCAATTCACTTTCTGACATCATTCAAATTATGCCAGCGGATGCCTCCGTTGTGGCCTTGCACATTCCACGCCATACAATTTGTATTACTTGTCGGTGTGCATGGCTGGACCGAGAGTTATGATAGTGAAAGTGACCTCCATTGCTAGCTGTCTGATCCTGCTGTGTGCTGGATATTTCGACATCACATGCGGATATCGCCGGTAAAGTGCAGTCAGTGCCGGTTCCTTGTAAGCCAACAACGGATGCAACGTCTCATCACACGAGAGCCTTTAATTTTTATCAGAGTTAATGATCCAGAAACCTTCCCAGAAACATGCCTGTGGTGATCCAGTCTAGATCAAATCTTCCATTTGTTTTTTCAGTTTCGGCAGCAATATTCATTAAAGGCATTTTGAACTAAAAGTGTGTCTTAAGACTTAAAGTTAAAACGTGACGCCTGCTTAGAGTAAGATCGCGCCTAGTCCAAAGCCATTTGGGCCTCACACAGGTCATTGGCCGGCAGGCATGCCCTTGATACCGTGGATCTGAGGCCGACGTACTCCACTTGTAGCCGAAGGCCACGGGACAGCCGGCGTGCAGGGTGCGCCTGTCGCCGGTGCCATCCGGACGCAAGTTGTCCCAGTAGACGGCTGAGCCGGGCTGCGGCTCCAGGCTGACACCCAGGAGCGGGAACACGGTGCGCCCGCCGCGCAGCACCGAGCTCAGCTGGAGCACAGCACACCGTCAGTCAGTACCGAGCTCAGCTGGAGCACAGCACACCGTCAGTCTGTACCGAACTCAGCTGGAATACTGCACACCGTCAGTCAGTACCGAGCTCAGCTGGAGCACAACACACCGTCAGTCTGCATCGAGCTAAGCTGGAGCACAGCACACCGTCAGTCAGTACCGAGCTCAGCTGGAGCACAACACACCGTCAGTCTGCATCGAGCTCGGCTGGAGCATGGCACACCGTTAGTCTGTACCAAGCTCAGCTGGAGCACAGCACACCGTCAGTCTGTATCGAGCTCTGCTGGAGCACAACGCACCGTCAGTCAGTACCGAGCTCATCTGGAGCACAACACACCGTCAGTCTGTATCGAGCTCAGCTGGAGCACAGCACACCGTCAGTCAGTACCGAGCTCATCTGGAGCACAACACACAGTTAGTCTGTACCAAGCTCAGCTGGAGTATAGTACACAGTCAGTCAGTAACGAGCTCAGCTGGTCCAGTGTAGTGCCAGTTCACTGCAAGTGGGAAAGATACACATTAACCACTATAGTGGTCAGGTCGCGGTCCGCAAGAGGATCTTCGCTTGGTGCTGACTTTGCCAGCCATCCATGTTCTTGATTCATGCCACGTCAGCTGCCCACGTCGTTGGTAGACGCTACGTCAACTATCCAATGCACGTCTCAGAATGTCAATTCAAAGGAAATTTTCTACAGCTGGAGATGTTGAAAGAAGCATCTGACATGATGAAATTAGCCCACTTATAACCATTGGTGTCTTTTTATGACGAAAGGACTCCTTAAGGCAAAAAGCACGATTTGGTAAATATGCTCCTCAATACACCCTTGTTTGGTTGCGTCATGAAATATTCGGATGACGTTGAGGTTCTGTCAATTGGCAGCGCAAAATTACCACCCTAGCACTAGCTGGTAGTGCTTCAAACTTGCCGAGAGATGGTGACAGTGCTCGAAGTGTTTGCTGAGCTAAATATAGTTTATGAGCTTGTCTTTTGGCCCTTTCCGTGGTGTTCCTACATACTTATTCGTGAGTTAGGGACATTTTCTTGTATTCACTTGTTGGATTGTGGCGCCATTCTTAAGCTGTTCGATTATAAGTCTTATTTCTGTAATGACTAGCAAGTAAAGAAACCAGGTCCATCTTTTTATATTGTGTAGCACAAAGCCTAATGAATTATTGAAGCTTGTACATCTGGATCAACTTGCTTGAGAGCCAATTGACGTCCACTATGCTTGGAAATCGTGCTCACGGATGCCAGATCTGAACAGCTTGATGACAATCCTGGCATTGTATTTTTGTGCGTGCGTATGTACTCTTCCTGGCCTTGAGCGCTGCATGGCCTATATGGCGGCACGAACTGCGTGGCGTTGCTATGGCACTCTGCATGTCATAATGGTCTCGAAGTAGTCTTCACGAAATATTCAGCACATATCTGCAGGCGTGTAGATAAGAGAAACCTCAGTAACTAGAGGGTTTTAGGTCTTCAAAAGGACGGGGCTGTGAGCTGCACCGAATGATCTTCAAGAAAGATATTTTAGTTCAAAATCCTACACAAATGTGGAGCACTCCATTTAAAATGCATATTAGGTACGAGAAACAGTCGGCTTTTGCACAGCACCATTACAAACAAAAGCGAACGCAATCCCATCCCGCCGACGTCCCTCGTGCACTCCAGCACACAGATCCTGCTGTTGGACTTACGTAGATCATGACCGTGGCGATCCTCTCGCCATACTCCAGCTGGAGCGGATGCACCCTCAGGTAGCTCTGCCGGCGAACGCAGCCGGCTCAGTTGGCTGATGGCGCGCGGCCTCGCCCGTGGCCTGATGTGCCCCGGCTCGGGGTTGGCAGCTGCCACCTCCAGATGATTCACACCACCACATACAGCGCAGGCATGGGGCCCGTTAGAGCGGGAGGACCCAACCTGTCTGTTGCGCCGATGTTGGTGTAAGGCTTTGCTGTTGGATGTTGAAAAGCTAAGGGCAGTGGTCTTACGAATTAGGTTGCGCTACCTTTTTTGCCCATTTTTGCACGCATGTTTTCGCGACCGTTCGTGTGAACACATTGACTTGTCCCAAAACTGCTACAGATAAACAGCTCTTTGATCGACAAAAAGCAATATCCTTTAACCACTGAAACCGTAGCTCACCTCCCTAACGGCTGAATCTTCTAGATTTAGGAAATCATGATGCCATTGGAAGAAACCACCCGCGCCGTATTCGCAAACCTGAAGGCAAGGCAGCAGAAATGTCAGGAACGAAACAAAACATGACAAAAGATTGTGGCAAAATAATCTCAAGTAGGTAACCATTCAAAGTTACAGAACAACATAGCACTCCATGGAATACTTTGTAGTTAGCATGATGGACACATGTTGTAGCGAATCTAACCAAACCCGCCCGAACGAAACCGAAATGAAACAAGGACAGGGCATAATCTGGCTCATCCAATTCCGACTCAGTCTGACGTACTCGAGCGGAGCCAAGCCAGGCATACTGTAGTAGAGGCATTTAATTTCCGTAATATATTTTGTACAACTTTGTCCTCCTTCGCCATCTATATCCCATTCGCGACACAGGGAAAGTCAAACGAAACAGGGGATAGTGGCACGGCACCTGCCGGTGACGTTCCATAGGTTTTGAGGGATTGCATTTATTTCATTAAGAGTGAGTGAGTGCCTGAAACAAGTAAAGAAGGTCGTACACAACCAATAGCAGCCTAATCCCCCTTCAACTAGCTTTATCCTCGCAAAATAGCGCTCCAAAATGCGCGGTGATGACACCTCGTACTTCCCGCAGAATCCACGGGAACAATCCAGTCCGTCCATCTCTTGGATGCCAACACAACCAGCTCGGTAAAAGCATTTAACGTGTATTTTGTCTGCCATCGTACTGCTAACAAACGCCGATCTGCCGTTTGACCGTTTCGCACGCAGAATAAGTTGTCAGCGATCTAGACACCGACGCTCCTAGCACAACGTTTAACGATACCAGGATGTATTACCCCACCCGGGGGCCGGGCCGCGACACGCTGACAGAGGTCACCAGAGCGCGCACAGGTGCGGAACATCGGCAAACGGGAGCTCGCTTAGCGATCCCGAGGAGGGGGGGGGGGGGGGATTTCTTCCTGTCGCAAAATAAGACCAAAACACGGATACATATAAGAATGCAGCAAAATATATCATGGCATCAACTCGTCATCGTGCAGACGCGCATGTACACACTAGTCTACAGCGAACAAAATTCTGACCGTCCATCCCTTCATGACTAGCCGTCTGCGATGAGCCACCTTAAGTCACCGATATCCCTATCATTATGCTTCGACGACCTTGTTTGGATAAAGGCCACACATTGACCACCATCGTACGATCGGCTGATGACCATAGTGCGATTACCAGTTTTGAGCCAGCGCCTCACACGTGGCCGCATGGTGGTTGAGCGGTGGTCATGACCACACGCGGATCACCTTTTACAGTGTGGTTTCATTCGCCGCGCACACTTGCGACCGCCATTACCGTTGAGACGCGTCGCTGCCAGATGGGAGGTTGAGAGCAGAGTGATACTGGTAAGCTTTTTTTAGGATCGGGGTAATTGCGTGCCTACCTGGTGTGCACATCAGCATAAGCTTCGTAAACCAAACGTTAAGGACTGCATTCTGGTGAATAGCACGGAGGCGAGGAATAGTACCAAAGTACAGAAGCAGTGCAGACAGCCTTAAATCCAAATGGACAGTTGCTAGTGCAAGCAACATTTTGCGTTGGAGGCGCGCAAATATTGCTTAAATATTTACGATAAATAAAATGTGAAGAGTGTTTTGCATTTGTTTTTGCCTCATAGGTATCTTTTGTTTCCCTGTTTTCTTAATAGCCTGTGCCGAGCCCGGTGAATACTCGTCACGCCCATTTTAACTATCGTGAAAGAACGAAAAAAAGAAGCACAAAACAAACGGACCAAGGGGCCTCTGGCCGCTCCCCTGAGTTATACCGTATGCAACTGCGATTCAGTCTACTGGATGTCATAGTTGAAACCTTACTCTAAAAGTGCAAGCAAGGATGGCAAAAATGGGCAAAGCATGCACTTTCTTGTCAGCATTGTTGAAAATTGCACGGCGGTTGCATTGGTGTCTTTCGCGCAATCATTTTTGTCTGAAAGCTAAAGATGCAGGCCTCCGTCCCCGCACTCAGTTAGGTGTGAAAGCTGGAGATGCAGGCCTCCGTCCCCACACTCAGTTTGGTGTAAAAGCTAGAGATGCAGGCCTCCATCCCCGCACTCAGTTTGGTGTAAAAGCTAGAGATGCAGGCCTCCGTCCCCGCACTCAGTCTGGCGTGAAAGCTAAAGATGCAGGCCTCCGTCCCCGCACTCAGTGAGGTGTGAAAGCTAAAGATGCAGGCCTCCGTCCCCGCACTCAGTTTGGTGTGAAAGCTAGAGATGCAGGCCTCCGTCCCCGCACTCAGACGCTGAACACGCCATTTGCAGCACTCTAGCAGGCATGGGTCATTCTGGAATATTGGAGAAGTGCGTGCGCGTTCAGGGATCTGTTATGGATATGTTGTGCTTGGCAGATGAATAGTGACTTTAAATAACAACAGTGTCCAAATGTTTACATGTGTTTGTAATGTGCAGAAATGATAGCAATCAACATAATAATGATAAATCATTTCAACGTATCAAAGCCTTTTCAAACAAGATGCTTCAAAAATACACCCAGTATTTGTTGTATGTTAGTTTTACATGAACACACATGCATACATTTGCATAATAATGACTAACATAGTTCATACGAGCATTGCAATGTTCGCTGTTCTGTTGCAGGCGAGGCAACAGAGATGCCGCTTTGCCTCCTAAGCGCCTGCCTCAACATCCTTTGAAAAGGTGCTGAGATGACCTCACCGTGCATTAAATAGCAAGATAGCTGACGATTGTAATGTGGGTGAAGGGGATTAGCGTAGCCACCGCAGACAGTCTCGAGCAGGCGATGCGGCTGGCAGGATTTTTTTCTTCTTTTTCACCAGGAAATCGTAAAAAAACGAAGTAACTTGCTTGGTTCATGACCAGCAAGTTGTTAAGTCTAGATTCGGAGCTGAACGCGTCCCCTATGCCTTTTCAAACTTCATTAAGCTGATGTGAGCCCGATAAATACAGTGATACTCGTGCGACGCTTGGACATGTTGGACATGATTCCTACTACATTTTCGGAATATAAAAAACTTTAGCTGCAGGCGAAATATGTTTTCGTGACATTGGTCCTACTTAACTACGAAATATTGAGGGGGCATCGCGAAAACTCATCTGGTGTGTGCAATTATACAAGGAACAACGTGGCCACAGACGTAGGCCTTGGCGTTAAGACTTGACTCCATTTCAAGATGGAAGCCCGCACAATCGTTTTCAACGCATAAGCGCTGCGCGCATTAATGTGATTTGTTTCCAAGTCTCATGGCTTTGTGCATAAACCAAATCAGCTCTGTGCACAGCACGACCTGAATTATCCACGTTTGCAACTGTACTGAAGAAAGGACTTGTTGGTAAGTAACCAAATCGTCCCTGCACAGGAGTCCATGGGCTTTGGCCGTCCGGCGGTCAGCTGTGAGGTTGGCGTACTCACCTGCAGCGTCTCCTGCGGGTAGCCGCGCCGGTGGACCGTGTCCAGGCCCGTGACCATCTGCATGCGCAGACTGAGCGCCGCCACCAGCGGGTGATGGCCGTCTTCGAGCCGAGCCGAGGTGGACACGCGAGACCACGTGCTCTCCCCGTCGGCGCCCACCACGGATCGTTGCATCTGTAGGCCAGCAGGAGCCAGCCAGGAGGGCTTTCCAGTCAGAACACCAACTCTTCTGTAGCTGGACGGCTGGCGTGTGTGTTATGCTTGGCACCGACTGGTTCGCGCCGAGCGAGTGCCCCGCCCCCCCCCCCCCCCCCCCCGCCCCCCCCCCTCCCTCTAGTGACCAAAGTACAGCCAACCTCTAAGCGGCTGACTACGACTAGTGACATTTGCGGTGCCAAGCTACACTGAATAATCATGATCTCACCAGCTAGACATGACTTTCCGGGAGTGTTCAAAATTTGTGGTGCTGCAGCGAGCCAAAAGCCATTCGAACTAACAACCTCCCTCCACTCTGCTGACGTGTTTGAAACGAAAATATTATATGGCCGAAACTTGCATTTCATAATGTGAGCTCCGGCAAGTATAATGCACGGACAAGCTTACCTTGGGCTCAGCTATCTCCATCAGCTGTTGCATCTCGTCTTGGCGAAGGAAGTCGTGATACACACACAGGTATGGTTCTATGCTGTGGACCTCAGTCTTCAATGGTTGGAGGTAGAGATATGGGTGGGGCTTCTCATACGCACAATAGAGTTTTGCACGCTGCCACGCTTCCTGCAATGGGATGATCAGTGTTCAATCCTCAGAGACAGCTTCAATCAGTTCAGTCAGTTCAAACAACTCAGTTTGTATAATTAGTTCATGCTCGCCTTCCAAATGCCAGGGCCTAATTTCTAGCACAGAGCGCTCGGCACCTTCGGAGGAGGAGAACAAGGAGCTCTCAGTGCAAAACGCCAGGTCCGTTATGCGTGCTCTTGTCTCTGCTGGTCGGCATGGTGACCGATATATCGTTCTCACCCGGAGGTCGCGGCCCCGACAGAGCGCTCCGAACGTGCGGGTGTACTCCTCGCTTAGCTTGACATCTCGCTCCATCTCGTTCCGCACGGCGGATGGCGAGCGCCCCATGACCGCCGTCGGAAACAGCTCGTACCCGCCCACTGCGGCCGCCAGCAGATCGTCGTGCTGAGAACACGCCGATATCAGGGGTGTGAGTGGAAACAGGGCGGTCAGGTGCCCCCCCCCCCCCTCCACCACCACCTGCTGTGCTGTAGTCCAATGCAGTGCGTCTACAATCGACGGGACGGCTGAGTTGAAACTGTACATCGAGAGTGAGCGAACCCAGGAGACTGCGTTACAGAACGTCTATGACACAGCAAGATTGCGATACAGAACCTCCATGACACAGCAAGCCGATGGCAGTGGAATGCGTGGTATCAAGGAATGACAACATGCTAATACATTAGGAAAATAGATAGCAACTTTGAGCATGACATGACAACGTAGTGTTAGAGATATGCCAATACCTATTCTTGGTCACCGTACTACGAAAGCCACAATGGGTACGGAAAGACGCATGCCATCACGTACGGACTTCCATGTGCCAATTGTTATGTATAAAAACCTTGCAAATGGAGTGCGTTACCTTGCGTTTGGCCTCCAGCAGCCGGCGATCTAATCTGTTCGCCCATTCTGTTTCGTTCCTGGCTCTTGCAACCTTTGCTCCCGTTTCCAGCCAGACCAGACCGCTTTGGAATGATTTTGAGTTGATAGCTATTTCTGCCAGTTTGTGGATATCGGAGACGGCCATCTCTACGAATACAGGAGTCATGCGTCAGCTCACTTCACATGAAATACAGGAGTGACCCCGGCACACAATTAACAGGCAGCTCAGCTACAAATAACTACGAACATTCCAATGCTTATCTATATGCTGATCAGTGGTATCAATTTTTGTAAATTGTTAGTGGGCCAAACCAAAGGCCCGACAAACTAGAGCCGAGACAATCGAGAAAACGCCGCTAAACGCTCCTAAAACTGGAGTTATCTGACGCGAGGCTGGAAGGGACTGCAGACCTAGTAGGTTGTGAGGAGATGCGCTCCATTGGCGAAGACATGGTCTATGTTGTCAGTGTTTACGAAGACAGCTGTTTGCGAGGCCGCGTCTGGACAGAAAATTTCTGTAGTCAGCAGGGGCGGATTCAGGATTTCGTCAAGGGGGAGGGGGGGGGGGGGCACGCGACAATATGTGGCCACCTAAAGTTTGGGGCCCTCCTCCACAAAATATCTTTGCATTTCGGTCATTACGTTTTAAGGCAAGTCGTATGTAACGTATATGCACACACACACACACACACACACACACACACACACACACACACACACACACACACACACACACACACACACACACACACACACACACACACACACACACACACACACACACACACACACACACACACACACACACACACACACACCACACACGCACACACAACACACACACACACACACACACACACACACACACACACATACACACACACACACACACACACACACACACACACACACACACACACACACACACACACACACACACACACACATATATATATATATATATATATATATATATATATATATATATATATATATATATATATATATGGGTATATATAGGTACGTATGTATGCATGTATGTATTTACTTATTCGTTTATTTCATAAATACAGAAACTCATCTTACTGTGCACGGCCTTATCAACCTAGGCGTACTATGCTTGCATACACATATAACTAACTCACTTCCTACAGAGCACGCTAAATGCTGTGATTTTAAGACTAAGTGTTTCGGAACAACAGGCAAAATAAAGTTGAGTTGGTTGCTAACAGCCATCAAAACCAAGCATGGACTTGATTCCTGGCTTACGTTTTTTACGGCTAGCCGGCTTGGCGATGTAATCAGCTGATGGCCGATGACTGGTATAAAATTGTCCTGTTATAAAGGAGGACAGCATATCCTAGCTTTCGAAATATGTTAAGAAGGTGATGCACTAGTATAATAAGTGTCACACACTCAAAAGCTAATGAAAATGACACATACGACGTCGGCGGCATGTTACCTTACGTTCGGCAAATGCGCGCAAAAATTCATCGCCGCATATTCGACCGCTGCTCTAAGGCGAAAGCACCGAGGCTAATAGGGACGAAACCTGAGCGATGATGGGTGCCGCAGGAGGCCAGCAAAGGGGCTCCAGTCAACAAGTATAGGGTCCGCAGAGCAAGCAAAAGGAAACCCAAGACCAACGTGGTGGGCCCATGAACAACCAGTGGCGCCTCGGCAGGCTGACATATGAAGCCCCGGCCAGAGCACAGAACCCTCCTAGCGAAGGGGAATTATCCGAGACCATGAATTAATACCCCTGTGCGATCAAGAGTACGTGGGCGGGTTAACAACAAGAGCTTTCATAGGAGTGAAGAGTCCTCCGCAAATGAGACCAAAGGGAGAGAGCCCTCAACCAAAGTAAATGGCCTCTGAGTATCGAGTGTCTCCGTGCCTTACCTTTTTGTTGGATTTCAGTTTTATTGTAAAAAAAACTGTGTCCGTCCGGCCAGTTATGGACCCCTTCGGAGTCTTTAGGCTTCCTTGGCATGGTCCATTGGGCATGGTCCCGCGTGTTCCCTCCCCTCCCCCCCCCCCCCCCATCTGCGTCCGCCGCCGGCGCGGGCAGCTTAATAGATGGGGCTCGCCACTAACATAGGTCATCCACTGAGAAAAGAAACAATCATGACACAATGGGTAGGGATCTAAAAGATCGAGTGCCCCCGAGCAGGTTGACATATAGGGGCCCCATCAAGAGCGTAGGGCCCTCCATTCAAAAGGGAAATACCCGAGACTCAATGTAGAGGGCCCCCGAATAATCGAGTGTGCCTGCACATGTTAACAGATAAGGTTCCCAAAAAGAGCGTAGGGCCTCTGTTCAAATAGCAAGCATTTAAGACCCAATGCAGAGGGCTATCGAATGATCCAGTGGGTCAGAGCAGGCTAACATATAACATATATGAGGGCCACGTCAAGAGCGTAGGCCTCCCATTTAAAAAGGAAGTACCCAAAACCCAATGAAGAGCGCCCCCTAATGATCGAGTGCGCCCGAGCAGGTTAACAAATAGGGCTCCCAACAAGAGCGTAGGGCATTCCATTCGAATGGGAAGCACAGAAGACCTCATGTGAATGGCCCCAGATTGATAGAATGTGCCCGAGCAGCTTATCAGAAAAGGCCCCGAGAAGAACGTAGGGCTCTCCATTCAAACAAGAAGTACCCAAAACCCAGGGCGGAGGGACCCCGACAGATGGAGTGTACCCGAGCAGATTATCAGGTGGCCCAGACACGAGTGTAGGACCCACAAGACACAATGTGGAGGGCCCCCGGATATTTGGGTGTGCCCGAGCAGGTCAACAGATGGGGCCCTGGCAAGAGCGTGCGGCCTTCCGTTCAAGTATCAAATACCCTTGACACGATGTAGGGGGCTCCGAATAATCGAGTGCTCCAGAGCAGGTTAACAGAAAGGCCCCCGAAAAGCACGGGGCCCTCCATTCAAAAAGGAAGTTCCCAAAACCGCATGTAGAGGTCCCCACGATCGAATGAGCCCGAGCATCTTATCAGAAGGGGCCCGACGGGAGCGTAAGGTCCTCCATTCAAATAAAAAGTACCCAAAGCCCGGTGCGGAGGGCCTCCGAAAGATAGAGTGTACCCGAACAGGTTATCAGATGGCCCCGATAGGAGCAGAGGGCCCTTAATTCAAACACCAAGAACCAATGTGCAAGGCCCCGAGCAATTCGGTATTGCCGAGGAGGCGAACAGAGGGGGCCCCGACAAGTGCGTATGGCTCCATTCAAATAGCACGTGCACAAGGCCCGAGGTAGAGGACCTTCGAACGATTGAACGTGCCCGAGCAGATATCAGATAGGCCCCCCAAAAAACGTGGGGCCCCCATTAAGAAAAGAAGTACCCAAGACCCAGTGTGAAGGGTTCCCAAACGACTGGTGTGCCTAATCAGGCCATCAGATGGGCCCCGACAAGAGTGCAGGGCCCTGAGCAAGTGACAAAGAATTGGAAGCCCCCTAGACGGATGAAGAGGGCCCATGAGCATATTGCAAGTGTGTCGGTAGGTTAACTGAGACTTACGTAAAGGGCCCCCTGAGCAACCGAGAATACCCCGGCAGGTTAAGACGTGGGACCCCGGCTGTAGCCCATAGAGCCTTTCTGGCAAAGGGAAAGAAAGAACATGTGGAAGCGCCCGTAATTAACAAGAGTGCCCCGGCACGCCAGCAAGAAGGATCCCAAGAACAGCGCAGGGCCCCCCGAGCAAATGCAAAGAATTAAAGAGTAACGTGGAATGCTCCTTAACTACCGAAATCATCCTGCAAGTGGGCATATAGGGCTCCCAGAAACAGCAGGGGGCCCCTAGACAGTGTAATGAGGCTTACAATTTCCGGTCCACATCTTTTCCAATCATTGAATAACTTTTTGGCTTCTCATAGGCCCTTCACTTTTGCTTACAACTGTTCTTGGTCGTCTGGAAGTCGAGAGATATCCAGTTTTGTTGCGTTTTGTGTTAAAAATCTGCATTCTTTCGGCCGGCGATGGGCCCCCTTGGAGCCAATGGTCTCCTTCGGGACCCAAGGGGGCGGGCCATGACCCCGTGCCCCCCTCCCCCCTCTGGATCCATCCCTGGTAGTCAGTGTCTGCAGGGGCGAAGAGAGGCACTGCCGGAGGAAACAGCATTTTCGGAAGCCTTGTTCGCGGGGATTGTGTTTGGGGAGGTAAGGTCCGTAGAAGCAGTGTCCTGGAGGCAGCGTCTGCTGGGTGTATGGGTCTAGAGAGGACGTGCATGTAACTGCAGTGTCTGTGGAAGTCGTGTTCGTCGAGACCTTTGTGTAGAGGGACTGCGTTTGCGAAGATGGCACATGCGTAGGCCATGTGTGGTTTGGGAGTGTCTGGAAACACCCAGTGTCTGGGACAGGTTCGTTCCTGTAGGGGCTTTATCTACAAAGACAGTGTCCGTGATGGAAATGCTTGTGAAACCTGAACCAAGAATAACAGTGTCTGAAGAGACAGTGTCTGCAGAGATCTTATCTGATGAGGCAGTGTATGCGGAGGCTGCGGAGTGATGTCTATAGAGTGAGTGTCCGGAGAGACAGTATATATACAAGCCATGCCTGTCACGGAGCCTCCTGTAGGGAGCCGAGTCTATAGAGGCAGTGACCCTTAAGGCAGTGTCTCAAGGCAGGGGTACATTCCTGCGGAGAGTATCTGCGGGGAAGTTTTGGAGGGAAGCGTCTGGAGAGAAGGTGTCTGAAGGGAAAGAGTGTGTGGGGGCAATGGCCAAAGTAAGACGTCTCGGAGGCCGTGCCTCAGCCACTCACTGGTGCCGGTGTCCAGTCCCAGCAGACGGCCGTCCGCCAGCTCGCCGATGTCGATGTTGTACACATGCTGCACCATCAGCATGGCTGAGATGGTCTCCACGGCCTCGCGCGCGCCCGGTCCGCCCTCCGCGCTGACAAACCGGCCCAGCTCGTTCCGGATCGAAGTCAGCGTCTCCAGCAGTTGGTCAGGTACTAGGTCCTGTAGTCAACACGCAGCGGCCCATGCAGACAGACTGACGTCGGCCGCCGGCAGTGACTTGTACAACGTGTCGTTCAAACGCTGTGGTGAACGGGACGAGGGCTTAGATATTCCACGTCAGGTCCTGACATTGTCGTCTTTTAATCACTCCAGGACAAGAATCTGTTTATGCGGCACGGAATGCGGAATATCTCAAGTGAAATCATGCCGGTGGGCATGGCTTATGAATGAAGCGTCTAGCTTTCAGACACGCCAATATTATGCTCTAGTCATCGTTTTGGGTTAGGTTACCTCGTTCCAATGTTTCTCCACTCTCTGCAGAAGTCTGAAGTCACGCACTGGATTGCTGGGCCTGGCAGTAGAAACCTCGTCGCGGTACAGCTCTAAATACCTGCGGAGTACGATCGGATACGTTAGAAACAGGCTGGCAAAAAGTCAGCGAGAAGGTGAGATGGCACCTCAAAGCAGCGGTGCGAGATGATGATACGCTTGCTTGATGACGGTCGTGTTCTTCACTGTTTTCCTCGTCTGTAATGTATACTGCACTGAAAACGTGTGTCTGGGAAGGGATATACGTGGCTTGAGCTGAAGCATAACGTCATGACTGCATTGTTTGTCGCGTCATGTGGATGCGCCGCATTAAGCCAGCAGGAGTAGTTTTCTCATATGCTAGCCGTTGTCACATGTTTGTAGCTGCAAATCGTCTTAAACCCGTAGCAGGTAGCATCTCTCAGACACCAGCGAGCTGAACAAGTGGCTAATCACGATATGAGTCGTGATTATGTGAAGCACCGTGCCCAAGTGGTACATTGGATCCATATGCACTCCGATCTTTGAGGACGGTTTTGGTGGTTATGGTCTCTTGGTATGGTTATAGGTCACTGTGATGGTAATGGTTATGGTCCATAGTTGCGAGGACCCGAGATCTCTTGGCAGTTTTCTTTTCGTGGAGAATATGCCTTTGACCTGGCATAATGGAGTGAACAAGTCCTAGTAGCTTGCTGGTTAAAGGACGGAGTTCAACCCTTCAAAACGCATGCGAGGGCCTGCTGCTACCTACGGTCGATTTGTGCTGCATTATTTCTGCAGGCATACAACATAATCGGCAGTACTTCTTTTCACTCTCCAAATTTTCATTGCCACTGAAGTGAGATTACGCCCTCCAAAACCATGAATGAAAGAAACTTTTTTTCTGCCCATGCAAATGCCAGATCTCTCTCATTTCGCCGCCGCCTCTTATCAATGCTGCTGCAATGTTTCTGTGCTGTCAGTATCTGCATTAAGTGCAAAACGCGCCTAGGGAGTCAATGGGAGTGCTGTTTTCCCGTAGCAGCGCACTTCGCCGAAAATTGGCTGAACTTCTTGAGTTTACTTACTGCGCCCTTTTCAACTTATACTTAGTTATGGTTTCTTAGTATGGTTATAGATCACTGTGACGGTAAGCGATGTGTGGTTTCTCTGTAATTTCCTAAAACAAGGATAGACCGTTGAAAATAAGGGCAGGCAGACAGACAGACAGACAGACAGACAGACAGACAGACAGACAGACAGACAGACAGACAGACAGACAGAAGTCCAAATGCACTATATACCACTCCGAACATATCTAAACATGGACATAACTTATGGCTTTCGTTGCGGCCCTTTTTGAAGTTAAGAGGCATTATCCAATTTCATTAATTTGCGACCTCGAGGTGATAAGAGCAGATTAATCATTAAGCCTACCTTGTTGCGTGTGGACTTAACGCGTCACCATAATAATCCTAACCATCAGTATCTAACTCATCATGTTAGCTTTATGGTATGTACTGGTACTACGGACTGTTACATCATTCAAAGCGATGACGCCGAATTCTGTGGCAAATGTATTCCCTCCCTACTGGGAAAATTCGACATCTCAGCTGGAATTTGAGGCCATGTTTATATGTGTCTCGAACCCACTGCATTCACCACTCGCTGTAGAATGGCATGTCCGTCTATACGGTCCACCCTCAGTCCAGCTCATGCTCAGCCCAAACCGTCTTACTAGCTTCCAGTCACTTCAAGGTAGCTGAATCCATTTTCCTTAGTACAGCTTACCCCATTTTTAAGCTCACGTCGCATGACAATATCAATGCAGGGTTTACGCAATGAACCATGGAGACAAGTGTCACAGCCTGCATGTCAAATAAGTTACGATGAATAATGTATATTTGAAAATATGCTAGCAATAAAAAGCTGTAGACAGGTACCACTCAAACACATTCGAAAACATGCGACACGGTGTCCCGCCATGGCAGAGCTTGATTCCGCCCGTGGCGCGCGATATTGGGTTTTCGGCAAAAATGTTCGAGTTGTGCATCCCCAGACATTACGAATTCCTTTAAGCGGCCATGTGCATGGGTCATAGTCTCGTCAATGTGAGATACGTTTAGTTATCAGCGGCTTGTAAATGAAATATTCATGAAAATTTAGTTCTATGATTTACCATTGTATAAGTTGTAGTTAAAAGTTGTAGTTAAAATCGGGGTAAGTTCAAGTCTGGCTTTATGAAACCTATCCTAAAAAGTGTCTGGAAGACGCTCCAAGACGTTACGCTACGTTACGTTACGTTAGGGCTCATTTTATTATTGGGCAAGTGCAGCTTGTATTCTGATGGACTCTCACAGCACTGAAGGCCGGGAATGCAAAACTGTTATTACGCAGGCGATCCATCCAACTTTGCTGCTGCTCGGCGATGGGTGAAATTGGGAGCGTCGTGCGGAGGTCGAAGCACACCTTTTGGCGTGCTGCAGTCTTCTCTCGGAGAGCTGGACGAAGTGCTCCAGTTGGCCGACGATGTGTCGCTCAGCGTCGAACAGCTGGTCCAGCCGGGCGGCGCTGGCGCTGATGCCGGAGAGCTGACTAGCCTGCGCAGCCGGCAGCAGCGGCAGCAGCGGCAGCAGCATCGGCACCACCATCGAGCACAGCAGCAGCGCCGTCAACCAGCCGGCAAACGAGCCACATCGGTCGGCCGGCTCCATCCACCTGCAGCAGCGGAGCAGCCGCCTGTACTACAAAGGGGTGGAGCGGTGCGCGTTAGGGGCGCACCTGTTACGAGATCGCCGCCACAGACGTGCCTTGAGTAATGGGGTCACTGCCACAGGGTACTCTCACATAACAATGTTATTGCTCAGTTGTCACAAACTCAGTGGACAGCTCTGACTGTGCGTTGTAGCATGGGATTTCATGATCGAGATATTCGTTTGGCATGGCTGTAAACAATCAAGTAACAACTTTTTTTCGTACAAGAAATTTAGACACATCTTGTAATGTCCCGGACCTATTGCAGGTCAAAGTTAAACCATGGTTTCAGCAAAGGCAATTTCTAGAGGATCGTTCAATCGGATGAAAGAACGGAGTGTTAGACGAAGTCATACATCTCTGAGATAATTTCTTAAGCAACCCAATAATCCAATAAACAAATTTCGTTTACTTAGGGTCAGGTATGAATATCAGGCCTAGGTCAAAAGCAACTTATTTTTTACTCGAGAGCTTACTGCAAGGGGTAGTTTATGGCGCTCATTTTGAATTTGCTAATGCAGGGGCCGCATTATATCTTTTCCATGGACTTCTTACAAGCCGAAACAAATCACTGATCTACAACCCAGGTCGGCGTTTTGCTTTTAAGGACATACCGTCTAGCGCAATCCCTGACGCTTATTCAAATGTAAAAATTAAAGGTGGCTCGTACGATTTTGGCCGCCGTGGCCTTCTAAAGGTCAAATGAGGTCACTGACTTTAAACGAGCACCAGTGACCTTTTGCTTAGAACAGGTATCTAGGTTCACAGTGTTTGAATGAGAAGGTCGAGAGGCACTTTGGACACTAACCTGGAGTCTGACGTTATTTTGACCGTATTTGGCATGAAGGTCATGACCTTGGAACCTCAAATTTTCCAACGCACCCTGTGAATTTAGTGCCTCTAGATTTCTTAGCTTTTGAGATTTCAGCGGGTCAAATTGACCCCTAACCGAGTGAAGGGTATTCCACAGACCACCCGGGCGCCTATTAAGGCCCAATGACTTTGACAACTGCACCGTCGTACGTAAGTGCAGCGCGCAGTTGCGCTATTTCGTCGTCAGATAAATGATACAGCACGGCTGACGTCACAGCTGTCGCGAAGCTACCATCACAAATCATTCTTATAAACACCGTTACTCAAATGCAACATGAATAGTTGCGATCTGGAAAATATCATAGCGTCCCCTCAATTCTTGACATTATCAAAATTTCGCACGTGCCATCCATTCTTTTGGACATCAACTGTTTGATGTGGCCGAGTTGGCAGAAATCAGATGCCCATAAAACACAAAATCTTGAATTCGGCAAACGCGCCGGGTTCTTTGGATGCATTAAGAAACCAGGTTAGCATCGGTTTGTGTTTTTACGAAAATGTATCAACAAAAGCTCGCAGACCAATGATAGCTACTCGTCAGAGCCGGCTGATTTGTTTGTTTTTCGTGTAAACTATAGTTGTTGACGTTGGCATGATAGCCTTTGGTCTCCTAACACAGAAAGCACGCCACCTTTATGAAGATATTATTCATTTCGGACAGATAAACGAAATGACACATCAGTAAGATGTGTCATTGATGATGACATTGATCATTTATGATGATGACATTGATGACATCGATCATTTAAGATTAGCTTTGATGCGCTCTTTCACCTAGATATCCAAATTGTCGAGAGTTCTATTATAAATAGCGGATATCGGAATTCATATAGTTGCAGCCTGCTAGATACAACCCTACAATATTAACATGTTAGCTAACTTGTTGACCAGCAGTTGACTTGTTGACGACAGCGAACATATTTCTCGTACAAAGGCAAACTCAAGACCAAAAGTTTTGTCTGCTTGGTTACGGCACTCACCTTCGTTTATACCACCAGAGCTTGAGGTGGCAGTCGGAGGTAACCTTCCCGAGGTTCAGGTGAGAGCCAGAGTCACAGTCTCCGCACGGACCCGCTATGTGACACTGGGCGCCTGCCCTATGCCGAGTCTGCGATACCCCCGACCATCCGACCCCGACCGTGCGACCCGACTACCTCACCCGGCGTCTCGCACGCCGTGCGTCTCCACCGATCTTACTCATCAGCGAACCGCGACCCCGGCTCCAGGAGCGCCGGACGACCTGGGTTCGCTCCGCCCGGACTGTCGGACGCGTCTGACGGCGTAGCGCCCCACGGACGGCGGCCGTGTGCGGCGGCCGCAGTCAGTGTCAGACGCGTCCGGGCCAGGATCCTTCTGCTCCGGTCGGATGGGCCGTTGACCCTGGCTGTTCGCGACTACCATGGAAAACGGACGGCGGGCCGCAGGCGTACATACCTGCCCGTGCCCTGTCCCAGACGGTGTTGTTATATGGACATCGGTCTTCCAGACCGATTGTCAGCGCTAGACAGAAGTCGCCGCAGAGCTTGGCGGTGACGTCAGTGGACAATAGCTATTGCTGCGTGTCCCTGAGGGTTTGAGCCTTCATGGTATTAATTGTTCGCCCAATCCATCCGATACCTGGGTATATACTCCATTACCCATGGCATTGGGTGACTACTACTCAGTCCAAACTATCATTACTCACCCGTTTTCGCCTTTCAAATTTTGTTTTTTGCCCAAGCTATGGGAGTTACGGGAGGCTTCAAATCTTACGTTCTGTGGCATGTCTAGAGGTCTCGATCCGGTTAAGATCTTGAACATCCTTATACCTGTGGGTTCTAGTCATTTTATACGGTACCACTAGCGCAGATGTCTTCACCGGTTCCACTAGCGCCGATGTCTCTAGCTCGTATCTCGGCACTGGTGAACGAAGAAGAGCCTGACGATGTTTAGTTTTGGGGAGCATTGCAGCCTTGGAAAAAGACTCATCTGGTATGTCGAAGATCTGCAGGCACCATGTCTTGGTACATCAAAGCGCTCTCCAATTCATTGCGTTTGGCCGGACACAGGGCACACTGATTTGGTCGAAGTTGTTTGAAAGCCGGCTCTGCATCATCGCCTCGCCCTGGTAGCAGATGCAAGGAGGTAGATGCCTGCCTCCGTGCTGAGTTCCTGCCGAGAGGCATTCGGAGAGCTCTTCCAAAGATGTCCTACATTGCTTTCTAGAGCCGTATATGTTCATAATAATGCATATATAATATCTAGACCTATATATATATCGCATTGTCGCTTACTCGAAAATCAAAACTGCGACCTGGTAACATAAGGCCATGTGATACGTGCTAACCTCTTGCCACTTGTAATGTCACAGTTCGAAGCAGAAGGATTTGAATTAATCTCAGCTCACATCGTGGGTCTCCACCTAGGATGGTTGACAACTGAGCTTCTGGATCGGTAGCAAGATTACGTTGCACGTGAAAGAAAGGTTTTCCTGGCATAAAATATATCGATAGCAAAAGAGTCAAGCGATGTACGGCCAACTCATAGCAATTTTCCCGCGCAATAAAAAGCCAATAGCCTGTGGCAACTAATGCAAGCGAAAGAAGCCAGTAGTTCACATGGGGGTGTAGCGGTTCAGAGAGTTGAGCGATACAGAAACACAAAACGCCTGACGCAGCGGGGAAAAGGATATTTACCGCTTACGCTGGATTCCCCTCGGACTGTTACCTGACAAAGTCGTGGCATAGTTGGTGAGTACCGTGGCTGATGTGGACTATTTAATCTAAAAGATGTCCTGGGATGACCGTATGCTCCACGAGGTGTGCGAGCTGCTACAAGACATTCATCATGCATGTGACGTGAAACACGACTGACGCACGTCCGAAACTGATCTACCCAAACTGGGGCAACACTAATATGCAAATGTAACTCTTTACAAACAGGTTCATCTTCCATGGGCTTATGCTGCCAGAGAGTTCCTTTCAGCAGTAATATTACGGCTTAGCTAGATTCTATAGACATTGACACACTGGTTTTTCTACTGTGTGCGCTCCTTACCTAAATGGGTTAGTGAAATTAAACGCACACATACCGCCAATCACAAACACAAATCACATCGTAAAACAACAGACACAGAGACCGCCTACGAAGAACGACAAGGACAGACCGCTTAGTATAATAGGAGCACCGGCGAGACCCTGGTTCTCTTCGTTCATCTCTAATACCAGTCAGATCTCCTGAACTAACTTAACTCTCGTCCACACCCGGCCGTCCTTGCCCGAAGTCTGGGACCGTTGGCCCGCATATGCGACCTCGGCCAGGTCACGTGGTCAATGGCCCGAGGGCATGAACACTGTCGGCCGCGCCGTTTAAACGCTGAACGGGCCGGCGTTCAGCCGGCCCGAAAACCCATTATCAATATTCTTCGATACTCTTCCCTTTCATAGTTGAGACGACGAACGCGAACAAAAAAAAGCCATCCGCCACAGGGCGGGCGCCGCGCGACCACGATCGTCACAGGGCGGGCGCCGCGCGACCACGATCGCCAGACAGCAGCCGCCGCCAACGTCAGGGCGGGGCGTTTGGCCGCATGCAGGCCGCCGACCAGAGCGAGACGGTTAGGAGGCGGGGTGTTTGGCCGCATGCAGGCTGCCGACCAGAGCGAGACGGTTAGGGGGCGGAGCGTTTGGCCGCATGCAGGCTGCCGACCAGAGCGAGACGGTTAGGGGGCGGAGCGTTTGGCCGCGTGCAGGCTGCCGACCAGAGCGAGACGGTTAGGGGGCGGGGCGTTTGGCCTCATGCAGGCTGCCAACCAGAACGAGACGGTTAAGTCCCGACACAGTAGCCCGTCACAGTCAGATCCAGGGACTTATTTGCACCTTTCTCATTGTGGCTAGGGTACTACAAATGGAGAATATCATTATGACGTGCAAACATAAAAAACAGCGACGTTTCGTTCGGCCACCGATGGCAAATAGCGATCCTGGGACTTGCGCTCTCTTGTTGAACACCGTTGAGCACCAGGGAGCGTCGCGCTCGACTTCACAGCCACCGCGAGAGTTTTCGCGTAGAAACTGCGGGCACGATACCCTTCCAACATTTTTCCATGTATTCAGGCTGTCGGGGTTTAAGTGAAAGACACAACCTACGCACAATTATAACAACCAATGGGCGAGTGAGGCCAAATACGACTATGTAGGAAGGGCTCCTACGCCCATGTCTGCCGGCGTTGATAACCTTGCGGACAAAAGGGTCGGGACTTTGGACCGTCAGGCAGACGTAATCATGTCGAAAAACGTATCTCATCCAAGAGGGAGTGGATGCCAGGCAGAGGAGCTTCCACTGTACAGGAATGGTGCCCGTAAGAGTTTCGCGGAAAGGCGCTTGCAAAGGATGTCGTACTCGGCGAAGATGGCATAAAATCAGAGTGTTCCACGTTGGGAATGTCATTCCACACGGCGCACACCCCACTGCGACGCTACGCAAACGAGTGGGTAATGATAATCAGGACTGAGTAGTGGGCGTGCGATGGGCAATGGAGACGATGCCCGGCTATCGGATGGATTGGGCAAATAATTAATACCACGAAGGTTCAAACCCTCAGGGACACGCAGCAATAGCTATCGTCCACTGACGTCACCGCCAAGCTCTGCGGCGACTTCTGTCTAGCGCTGACAATTGGTCTGAAAGACTGTGGTTCGGGAAACAGCGTTTGGGACGGGGCACGGAAAGTATGTGGGCCTGCGGCCCGCCGTCCGTTTTCCATGGTCGTCGCGAGCAGCTAGGGTTAACGGCCCATCCGACCGGAGCAGAAGGATGCTGCTCGTCTGACCTTACTGCCTACGTCCGCCGCACGCGGCCGCCGTACGTGGGGCGCTGCGCCGTCAGACGAGTCCGACAGTCCAGGCGGAGCGAAGCCAGGTCGCTCGGCGCTCCTGGAGCCGGGGTCGCGGTCCGCTGAAGAGTGAGATCGGTGGAGACGCACGGCGTGCGAGACGCCGGGTGAGGTAGTCGGGTCGCACGGTCGGGGTCGGATGGTTGGGGGTATCGCAGACTCGACGGCATCGAACAGGCGCCCAGTGTCATGTAGCGGGCCCGTACGGAGACTGCGACTCTGGATATCACATTAACTTCGGGACGGCCACCTCCGACTGCCACCTTAAGCTCGGGTGGTATAAACGAAGGTGAGTGCCATGACCAAATAGGCAAAGCTGTCGGTCTTCAGTTTATTGTTGTACGAGGGCATGCACGTTGATGTTGTCAACAAGCTAGTTAAGAATTTAACATTTTAGGGTTATATTTAGCATGCACCCGGTTGACCGGTTGGATGTCCTTTGCTCGAGCGGTGGAGGGGAGGGGATAAAACTGAGCCCGATGAAATCTCAGTGACTAAGTGAGCTAGCAACATGAACTTCTCAGGGCGTGTTGATCTATCCGTGAACTCAATTAGGTCAAAGTTTTAGGTCTTTAGGTCATGACTTTTTGGCCACATAAGGTCACACAAGGTCAAATTCCAGGTTGGTTCCAAAGGGACTCGAAAACCTGGATAACTGTTCTAAGCAAAAAGACACATGCTCACTCAATGTTTGACTTTTTAATATCATGCTGACCAAAAACATGCAAGACTGCTTTGAGTTTTACATTATAATAAGCGACAAAGATTACGCTAGACAGTATGTTCATAAAAACGAAACGTTGCCCTGGGTCATTTTAGATCAGCGACCTATTCTGGCTTTTAATAAGTCCATAAAATGTGTATAATACGGTTCCTGTTATCAATCAACTCAAAATGAACACCAGAAATTATCCCATACAGCAAGCCCTGGAGTAAGAAAATAGGTTTGGGCTTAGCCTTGGTCTGACCTTCGCAAATGACGAAAGTCAACTGAATTTGTGCATTCCATTGTCGTGTTGCCTAAGGAAGCACCTCAGATGAATATGTCTTCGTCAAACACTCTGCTGTTGCATCAGGTTGAACGATTTCCAAGAAATTGGCCACGCTGAAACCATGACCTGAATTTGATCTGTCATAGGTCAGTGACCTTACAAGGTATCCTAAATTTGTGATGCCAGATGAACCGCTATTCGATTGTGTACAGCTATGCAGAATTTGGCACTGCTACACCTTACCGTTCGATAGCGATTCCGGAAAAACCTTCGGGAGGTTCAATTTCACCCCGCCCGAGCGCGTGTTAACATGCGCTCGATTGGGGGGGGGAGGGGCTGAAGTTGCCCCCCGACCCGCCTCCCCCCGCCGCTGAAGGCAAGCGTGATGTAAAGCAGACAGCTGTGTACGGTGACCGAATCTTTTCAATGAGACCTAAGTCTTGTGTGTCACCAGGCCAAGCCTTTACCGGGAATGATCTCAGCGCTTGCCTGGGCAATCCTCCAGTCTAGCCGAGAAAACAAACGAACGATCTTTTCTTCTTCAATACGTATGCGCAAAGTAAAATGCGTCCGTGTGCGTAGGTACGCACAAAAACGTAAACGTACCTTGATACGCTCTCGGATGGAGCGAGGAGGGCGTCAAGTTGACCCCCCCCCCCCACGGACTTCCAGAATGATCTCCGAAATGCGCAGCGAAACGGCGTCAAACTTTGACGAGCTGTTGAGAATTGAATAGTGGGTGTTATGTTGTAGAATATTGATATAACTTGTATGGCTACTGACCTGCAGCGGGTAGAGGCCAGGCCAAGGCTGTCAGCGAAGAACATTTCTATGGCGGAACCGTTCAACGCGATACATGATCGGAGTGTTAGGCGAAGCCTTACACATCTGAGATAGGTTTTCAGACAATAAACCAATTTAAATATAGAATTACAACACATTCTATTCACATGGGGCCAGAAATGCAGGTCAGACCAAAACTAAATTAACATGCTTTTTCTCGAGAGCTTGTTTTTTTGGATAGTCTGTGGTGCTTATTTTGTGTTCATTAATGACAGGCAGCGTAACAGGCATGTTTTTGTGTTCCTAAATGTTAGAGTAGATCACTAGCCTAAAATGACCCATTTTGCTTTTAGGAGCCTACCGCTTAGCGTAATCACTGATGCTTATTTTGTTTGTAAGATAAGAGCAATCGTTTAGGTATTTAATCCCTTCGACCATATAAAGATCAAACAATGTCGCTAACCTTAACTGAATACTACTGAACATTTGTTTAAAACGGGTATATAGCTTCACAGCGGTTGCATGAGAGGGTCTTGGGGTACTTGAGACACAAGCCTGGAGTTTGGCCTGGTTTAACCTTATTTGACCCCAAGAGCCTGACCTAGCAACCCCAAATTTTGATACACCTGGGGCACGTGCAGGTAAAACCACCCTGCGAATTTGGATTCTCTAGCTATCCTAGTTTATGAGGTCTCAGGGTTATCAATCTGAGCTCCCCTGACCTCCCCCCAGGTGCACTTGTTGCATTTTTCGAGACCGACTTCACCCGGATTGTCCGTTGCTCTCAGCCCGAACGGATAGGGGCAGGCATCGATGCGACTTCCTACCAATTCCCAAATAAGAGTGATAGAGTCTCGCAGGAAAGAGGGTCTTAGTGCCATCCCAAGATTGGTCACAAATTTTGTGTTGACGCAAGCAGTGCCTTGCAGCTTGTGCTTTGCAACCAGCCATTGCAAAGCGGGCCCAAACCTTGTCGCATGATGGATTTGAACGTAATGTATGTCTGGACCCATACAGAATGCATGCATTCATGTGTTCGTGCATCAGCCTGGGATGGAATTCTTGGACGAGCATGCAATCAGATGTGTCGAAATGCCTTTGCCATCATGGTACCGTTCTTCTGTACAGGTACATCGGTTGAAAAAACATTAACTTTTCGAACATTGATTAGCTATTTGGTGTTGCGGTCCCCACAAATCTCATCTGCGCTAACATGCCCACGCTCTCTGGTGATTGTGAAAGGTCTCGGCATAAGCCACAACCTGGGTTGTAATAACAACGCAGCAATAACAAACAATTTTCTACCGATATCCATCCATCAGTGGTGAACGTTTTGGACAACTCGTCCAACAGTATTGTTTTATGTTTCAGCCATCAGGGTAAACTTTTAGAGCAAATAACAAGACAATCCTAAATTAACATTACACGTCTTACCACTATGCAATGCGCTGGGCTAAATACACAAAGTTTTGAACATCTTGCATGATAATCGGGAGTTCTTAAATCAATAGACAACGCAGATGCATCCGAAGTTCCAAAGTTAAGTCCCATAATTGTACTGAGACACCCAGTCAGGAGTATAGTTCCTTATCCAGTTGGGAGTCCAGTCCCACCTCCCACTTGAGCTAATCCCTGTAGCAGATTTGTAACTGCTTGCGTGATAGTGAGACTAGTGACGACGTCGCTCGTACCAGTACTGCTCGCGAGTCAGGCAAAAATAGATCTTGTCTGTCTAGAGCTTCTGTAAGCGATTGCCTCACAATTACCAACATCCACTCCGCACCACAATGTGAACTATGGTGTGTCGTCAATCAGAAAATTACATCGGAATGCGAAAAAGCGGCGATGGCGAAAAAGAACACCAAACGTGAAGAGCTGTGGGGGCAAAAATCAATTCTTGTTGAGCGTGAACCGATTTACTGAAGAGCTATTTTTCAAGCCTGTGCATAGTCGCGTCACCTATATCGCCAATATCTCCGAAGCGAATTATTAATGTTTTATGGCTCTGATAGGGACTGCAAACGAACATTAAGCCACGTCTTACGGTCAGCTTTTAATCACAGATGGAACGTAACACAACACTTCAAGCTAAAGCTGTGTTCAGCGCTTTTTGATCGGATTTACAATGGCCGAAACACGTAAATTCATTCAAGTCCGACCCTCTGTACATGCATAGAGTTCCATGCACATCACATTCGTAATCGAGCTTCATTGTCCTATTTCACCCAGGTTTCGATACTAAAGTGCAGGTGAATCACCGAAAAATAATGTTGAAATGCTGCCATTTATATGTCATGGCAAGCCATACCATGCAATTACGAAAAATGTTATCTAGCGAGTCGGTGTTAATGTGCACGATTCACTTTATGCCATATGAATGCTCTTGTGGACAGCGTTCGTCTCGCCATGACCATCGACACTTCGACATCACCTTATGACACGATGCCATTTGTGATTATTGTTTAGGTCGGCGCGCTATGTTGCGTGGTTATCAACAAATCCGCAACTTGAAACGAATGCAAACCTCCACCGAGTTAATATAGACTCATTGTAGAATTACAATGCTACATTTGCACATGATCTCGACCAAGTCTTTGCGTAGTAATGTTATGTATTATGCATCGATGTGGCACTACTCGGGCAGAGTCTAGAGAGACGGGGTGCAGTCAGGATGTGGGTGCGTGCGTGTGTGCGTGCATGCATATATATATCGTTCGGTTAGGTTCAATTTTCTGTCGGGAACCATCTATGGTGAAAACTACAAAATCCGGACCTAAGGGGGTGGGGAGGAAGCCGGGCACTTCTCCACCCCTCCCCCCCCCCCCCCCCACCCGCATTTGTCTTTGACTGCGCCCTGCTATGGACTATCCTCAACATGCTTGTGCGAAAATGTGTGTGCCATAAAATGCTTCTTAAAAAGAAGCGTATTATGATGTACATTGATGTACAGTGATTATGATGCATATTAATGCACTTGAGGATAATATCAATATCCTCCTCATCTACATCAAGCTTTCCCACAATCCTGTTGGTCACATAAGTTTTGGCAGTCAAGTGTTGACTCACAGATGTGGAAAAGCTACCGACGGAGATTGCCTTGCTCAGTGTATGACAAAATTGATAAATATTCTCCAGTGACGTCACTGGATAGTTCGTGCGGGGGCTGAACGCAGAACGCAGCGATTGGTGATTTTGTTTGGTGAGTCTACATGCAAACCTTGACCAAGGGCATAGGCGAATGATGGCGTCGCCACGCCCGAAGTCCCCCAAAACACCTGCGTCTAGAAACGATTCCAAGGATGAATCGATCTGGGAAAAACTTGGAACACTGGGGCGTAAGAAGAAAATTCAGCAGGGTGAGTATCTTGATGCTTTGGCTTCGTGCAAGCCTCCATACAGTCGTGTATTGTATGGGGAGTTGCATGCGCTAGGTTTGTATCAGACTTTTCATCTTGCACCAGAGGCTGTTCGTGAACTGGATCTGGACTGATAGAATGCGTGGTGCTTGATATGATGAACGTGATGGTGAGAATTCGAAAATTTTCTTAACGAATGTCAATTTCTATGTAATTGCAACATGCCATGCCTGTACATCCATACCAGCATCTGAAATTTGGTGCATTCATGTTTTTTTGTCCCTATGTATCTTGCTTTCTGCTTAAATATGCTGGAAGGAAAACAGGTTTGGCCTCATTGACCAATTTGAAATGGAAAGGACCCTTTCCACAGCGTCATGGATCATCTATATGACATCAGTCATCAGCCACTGTGAAATTGGCCAATAGTCAGTAAGGGATTGGCAGACTCGATTGTTTTTTTCTCAAATTGTCAGAGATGGCAGTGTTTGTTAGCACATGCTTGCTCAAACAGGATATGGTCCTGTGGTCTTGTTTCTACTCTTCTTCTTCTCATGTTCTGGTATGTTTTTGTAATTTTGTATTTTTTTGCATCCACATGCTTTTTTAGTGGTGCTATTGATTTTTTGAGTCAGTACCAGTCATGTCTGTTGGTCATATTTAACACATCTGGAAATTCATTGGAAAGTATCCCTTTATGATTACTTTATCATTAAGCGCTGCTCCTCAACAGATAGTGGAAAAAGCTAAGATCAATGATTCAGCATAGTAACCACAGGGTGGCTTCATTCAGATAATGTTTTTCTTAGGTTTCTTGCTAGTCTTAAATACATAATCCACACAAAAGCCCCTAAATTTATTTATTTAGGTCCTGTTATTGAATGAGGTCATTTAGATTAAGTGCCATGTGAAGTCAGAGCACAAGTACAAGACAAGACAATACATACCAAGATTGCAGTATGGGACTGTGCTTCAAGCCATTACTGCATGCCAGAGCTTGCATGTCATTGTGCTGTATCAGGAGAATTTGTGCATCATACCCAAGCATGTCCAATTTCCACTTCATGTCAGAAATAGTTTTCCTTCAAGACTGGTGAGAGATCAGGTTTCTTAAATTTTCCTTGGGAGCATCACATTTCCAAAAAATCTTAAGGTCTTTCCACACATTCTCTAATGAAAGCTAGCTGTATCCTGGGAATGTCACTTATCACTTTGATGGCAGCACCAATTTTGCACCTATGGTTACACTGGTGCTGGAGGGCAGGTTTGGGAGGGTGGTTCTACTTCTGTTCTTCTGTCCTGTTCTGTGAGATCTCTTCTGTATTTACCACTGCATGTCTGACAAACCAGAGATGCTATGTTTGACTCCCCTTGGTGCCCGCCCTTCCTGCCAGGGTGCGAGGCAGGCAATGCCATATAGCCTCACCAGCTGCATGTGTCTGAGTACTGTGTGTTATCAATGCAGTGATAACAATTGTGTATAAATTTATCTGCTTGCAAGGCTGCTTTAGGGATTTTGTCATTGTGGGATCTGCAAAAATTAGTCTGCCTGGAAATTAAATTATTGTTTTGCAGTTCCCACCTTTTGCTGTAGTTGGACTAGCAGAACAGAAAATGTGGAAGACATAAAATACAGTGGGGAGTCCACATTTGCCATGCTAGTCCATTAATTACCTTAGAAAGTCTAGAATGGAGGCATAAATCTGAGATGTGGGATAGCTTGACAGATATTGCCTTTTGTTGTGGGGGCAGAGGACATGGGCAATTGCATGGTGCATGGTGTAAAGGGGTGGTGGTGAACAGTCTGAGAAGACATCGTGGCATAGATATGGTTGGTCCCCAGTGTGACTCAATCTTGCTTGCTTGCAACAGTCTTCTGTTTGATGCGCGATTTTTCTTCACCTTCGCAGTTCAGGATGTGAGTCGGGAAGGCAGGTTCGCCATTGATTCTCCCGGAGGCGCCGTCCTACGCGACCTGCCGGCTGAATACTATGCTATTGGTAAGCTGTTTGTTAATGCTGTGAAGGGTTATACTTTTAATATAGCTATGACATAACTATTGCATGCATTGTGTGCATATAGATGTATATATATATATATATATATATATATATACATCTATATATATATATATATTATGCATAATACTATACTATTGTATCATATGGCTATGTTTTGGTTAGGTTGTCTTGTAGCAGCTGATGCATATGAATGTTTTGTCTCCCTTTTTTGCCTACTGCTCAAATTCAGGTCTTTGTGAATAGTTTGAAAAGTGTGTGCTCCAATGAGTGAACAGGTCGACGCGAGTAATACACTATTGTTGCTATCTTTGGCTGTTGCCAATGTCATGCAAAGGCGTATTTCCTACATTCATTTTGCACCCAATGTAGTGTTGCTGTCACGTGTGTTGCCTGGCTGTACTGTGGTGCGTATTGGCTGGCTCCGTGCGCGTCGCGCCTGTTTCGGACACGGCGCCGTGTCACGCGTGAGCGAAGCGTGCTGCCCGGTCGAATCGCGGCCGCCTAACCTGGGCCTGGCCGGCAGAGGAAGGCGAAGAACGCTCCATGATCGATCCGCACTCGTACAACTCGCCGCGCTTCGCCGACTTGCGCCGTGTGCTCACCAACTGGCTGAACGATGAGATGGCCCCGTACCGCATCATTGTCAAGTCCCTCGAGGAGGACCTGTACGACGGCCACGTGCTGCAGAAACTCACTGGTGAGGGCGGAAGAGAGGGCGACACGGCTGACTCGGATGGCGTGAAGGGCTGCAGAGACCAATGACATGAGAACGTCGTGGGTCAGCGCACATAATTCAGTATGTCTGTCGACGTGGTATATCGGTGTGCAAAGCTGACGGCGGTGCCTTCTGGAAGAATTGATGGTTATTGCGTGAGATAGATTTTTATTTAGAATGCAGTATAGGAGTCGTAAGATTGCGAAAAGTCTTCGGAGTGCAGCTCTTGGGAAGCCGGGAAGTTGAAATTTCTCCGATTGCGTACTATTCACTGCTTAAATCTAGTATCCTTGGCATTGGCAGGAACGCTTTTGTGCGCTGTATTTGCGGACAATCTGCGATGGTATTGCCTGTCTGCTCAAATGCCAGTGAAACGTCTCCCCTTATTTGCTTGGAATACGCCGTCAGTTCAGGATGCATTAAAATGCGCTGAGTGCACAGTATTCAGAAAGGTTCCAGAATATGGGCGGATTCCCGTCTGATTTCCGATGCCAGATGCGACGGAGTTACAGCACTTGCGCGCTGATAACCTGTAGCAGAAAGCTGAGACAAATCCACACTCTTCGGTCCACATAGCTCGTGTCGGAGTGATTGAGCCTACCCAAGAAAAGTTTTTCAGTACAGTGCTGAGACACTGGCGGTTTGTCCGCCTAAGTCATCTCGTGCCTTTCGTTTTGCTGTTTGTCTTTTCAGTGTGTGCAAACTCCAGCTAGGTATCTGAGACGGGCCCGCGCATGGGTACCGGTGTGGTATGTTGTACCGTTGACAGGTGTACGGTTCGGCTGTGCAGTGACGCCTGACAGGCGGTCTGCGGCTTCTCGCTGGCCGTGCCGGAGGTGACGTGACGTGACGTGACGTGACGTGACGTGACGTGACGTAACGTGACGTAATGGGTACGTTCCGCAGAGAAGCTGGGCGGCTCCTCACTGGTGCCGGATGTGACGTGACGTGACGTGGCGGCCGTGTCCCGCAGAGAAGCCGAGCGGCTCCTCGCTGGCCGTGCCGGAGGTGACGTGACGTGACATGGCGGCCGTGTCCCGCAGGGAAGCCGAGCGGCTCCTCACTGGTGCCGGAGGTGACGTGACGTGGCGGCCGTGTCCCGTAGAGAAGCCGAGCGGCTCCTCGCTGGCTGTGCCGGAGGTGACGTGACGTGACGGCCGCGTGCCGCAGAGAAGCCGGACGGCTCCTCACTGGTGCTGGAGGTGACGTGACGTGACGTAATGGTCGCGTTCCACAGAGAAGCTGAGCGGCTCCTCGCTGGCCGTGCCGGAGGTGACGCAGTCCGAGGTCGCCCAGAAACAGAAACTTAAGGTGGTGCTGAGCTCCGTCAACCAGGTGGGCGGCGCCTACTCGCCTACTGCTGCGGCCGCGAGCTGTACTGGGAGACAGGCGGACTGTCAGGGCAGCGATGTGACGGCTACTCGCCTACTGCTGCGGCCGCGGGCTGTACTGGGAGACAGGCGGGCTGTCAGGGCAGCGATGTGACGCCTACTCGCCTACTGCTGCGGCCGCGGACTGTACTGGGAGACGGGCGGGCTGTCAGGGCAACGATGTGACGCCTACTCACCTACTGCTGCGGCCGCGGGCTGTACTGGGAGACAGGCGGGCTGTCAGGGCAGCGATGTGACGCCTACTCGCCTACTGCTGCGGTCGCAGGCTGCACTGGGAGACGGGTGGGCTGTCAGGGCAGCGATTTAACTCACCAGGCCGCCAGTTTCTAAATGCTGCTTTTATTGTACCCTAAGGAAAAGCAGCGAACCCGGCCAACGTTCACATCTGAAGTGATATTGTTTTGCCGCGGGTACCGTGTCCGCCGTGCGAGCGCTGAAGGACACAACCCCGGCAGCCGAGACAGTGAGGCCGTGACCCATGCTTGCCCGTGTGGCCTCTGCGCCCCCCCCCCCCGCTGTCCGATGATGTGAACGATGAGGTTTGTCCGTCACTCAGCCGGGTGCAGATAGGCCTCCCGCGCCGGCCTGCCTCGCCCTCCGGTGTCGTCCGTGGTGTGCCAGCAATCCGGCGAGGCTGATCGGGCTGACTGCCGTCCTATGATGGGCAGATGCTGGGGCTCGGACACCATGGCAGCCAGCTGTGGAACGTCGAGAAAATACACGGCAAAAATGTGATCGCCATCGTGCACCTGCTGGTGGCGCTGGTGCGCCACTACCGCGCGCCCATTCGCCTGCCCGAGAACGTGTTCGCCAAAGTCGTCATCGTCAAGGTGAGCGGCCACGCGCAGAGCTGTGCGCCGTCGGGCCGGGCCGCAGTGGGATCGGCCGGCGGCAGTATGGGGGGGGGGGGGGGGGTGGCGTTGTTTGCGGCGGCGTCGAGCGTGGCCGCTCCGGCGGGTGGGTCGCCGGCCTGACCGCCAGTCGGTGCAGTGGCGGTCCGATGACCGGTCGCTGACCCCGGCTGGTGACGAGCGCCCCGCCGCGTCCGCAGAAGGAGGACGGCCAGCTGACGCACCGGGTGGTGGAGGAGGAGATGACCTCCACCTACGACGACCTCGGCCTGCGCTACGAGCGCGACGCGTTCGACACGCTGTTTGACCACGCGCCCGACAAGCTGCAGGTGGTGAAGAAGGTAGGGGTCCAGCCGGCGGGAAGTCAGCCGGGCGGCGCTGACCCGTCTGGGCCGTCCAACTGTGCGTTGTGTTCGGTTCGCTTGGCTTGTTAACCGTTGTGGATCGACATCCGCATTGAAGCGACGTCATTGCCCATTAAAATTACGTTTGGCGCTCCAGTTTGCGGTGGACGCGTCGCGGCATGGCTGTCAACGATCGTGCCCCTAGCCCGCGGGGTAGCCGCCACTGCTCTCACCATGTCACTGCTGGCGCCCCCAGTCGCTGGTGACGTTCGCCAACAAGCAGCTGAACAAGATCAACCTGGAGGTGACCGACCTGGACTCCCAATTCAACGACGGCGTCTACCTGTGCCTGCTCATGGGCCTGCTGGAGGAGTACTTCGTGCCGTTGCACGACTTCTACCTGACTCCGCGCTCGTTTGAGGACAAGGTGCACAACGTGACGTTCGCCTTCGAACTGATGCAGGATGCCGGCCTGCCGCGACCCAAGCCTCGGCCCGAAGGTGAGGATGACCTGGGGCTCGGCGTAGTGTGTCACGGGATGTAGAGGCCGGGTGGTTAGCGCCTTGGACGTCGACGTGGCGGCCCGGGCTCGGATCCCAGCTGCGCTGTAGCCCCCTAGCGCCAACCTGGTCAGCGCAGTCACTGGCGCTCCATGGCGTGACGAAGTGAAGGGGCGTCGCGTTCCTTTTCTAGAAGGTAGGGTGCCAGAGCTGTTAATGTGACCCGGGCGTGTTTTCCGGTACCAACTGTCGCTCTTCCTTAGCAAGGTTTACATGCTTACGCCGTGCAGTTAGATCACTTCAAGTCATTCTGATGTGGTGCCTGGTAGCTTGGAAATAATATTAGCGTGTTCAAATACGAAACGGGTGGCAAAATAACATAGTTTAAAAACAACTGGTGGACTGATTATGAAGTCATGGCTCGGTGAAATCAGTATTGTGTCCTATAATGTGTACACCCTACATTGCTAATGCGTAACACATAATCATTGGTTTCATCATGCATCATGCAGATGGATTGTTAGTCATATTCACTGTAGGTGGCGTGTTCGCTTGTTCACTGTTTGTTGGTGTGGCATCTTTCAGATATCGTCAATTTGGATTTAAAATCTACTCTCCGCGTTCTCTACAATCTGTTCTTCAAGTACAAAAATCTCAACTAGTCACGTGACTCGACGAGGCAACTGATCCTTGAAGGTTTCTGTTGTTTTTTCAGTTTTCACCAGTATATCAGAATCGTGTGAAAAGCTAACATATTTCATTAGAAGCGTTCATGTGCTAATGTGTAAATCTAATTACTAGGACGAAGTGTGCATAGGCATGCTATGTATCGTGGTACTATCTAAGCATCGTCTAATTGTCGAGATCCCTGTGGTTTTAACTAGTCTCAAACGTTATAGGTAAGATACATGGTCTGAATTATAACTAATATCTTATGTGAGTGACTGCAATTAGTTTTCTTGGACGTCGCTGCAGAATACCTGATGAAAGAATGCAAACCTGTGCCTTCGCTTTAACGTGAAAGCAGTCAGCAAGCAGAAACTTTCACGGTGTTTTTGCAGAGTACATTTTGGCCATGCACATTCATAAGCATCGTGGTGGTAGGGCTTACGCGTGCTTATGCTGCTCCACACCATAGCCGGTTGTTACCATGTCCGAGCATGTTTAAAACGCCCTTGTAGTATAGAGTGCTTGTCAGTGCCTGAGAGGTGTAGCCGTGCGTGCGTGCCATGCGAGATGTGCCTCCACAATGACTCGGTCAGGTCGTCGACCAAGCCTCAATCTGCTAGACTGCGGGCCTGTTACGTGAATATGTGGCGGCGTTTCCATCTGATCGTACTGCATTTTTACTCACTGGCCTGAAGTTATGTGCCTCCACTAGGAAATTCGTGCGTGCGCTCATTGTGTATAATGATATCCGAGTGGCGGATGTGTGGTGCTAGTATTTTGATGGTTATTTACTACCTGGAACTTGCGGTCGTCCATAACAGTGCCAATGTTAAACAATACAGCCTTCCTTGTATTACTACCCCAGGCTTTCGTGCTGTGTGGTGGTGTCTGAATTTGCGCTACTGCCGATCGAAACAGGTCTGAGGCTGCGAAACCATGAGCATACGAGCATGTGGTATATGTATCCAAATGCCAATGTCCACGTAGGTGCATCCATCTGGCATGGGGATATCAGACGCTTTACATCAATAGTTCATCGGGATAGTTTTTGGCCGTCTGGCCCCGTGTTTGAAACCGATCATGACCCTTTGATCGGTGAAACGAGTGCACGTACCAAAGAAAGGTAGGTAACGCGCGCTCGGGTGGTGGGGATCAAATTGACCTGCCAAAGGTTTGTCCGGGATGTTTCCAAACGGGCCAAACTTGGTTACCTGCAGATAATTGAATAGCGGATCGTTTGGTATGAAAAGTTTGGATATACCTTATAAGGTCGCTGACCTATGGCGAGTCAAAGGCAGGCCATGAATTCGTAGTCAGTTTCTAGGAGATCGTTCAACCTGATACAACAACAGAGTGTTAGACAAAGCCATATTTATCTGAGATGCTTTCTTTTTTATCTGGGATGCTTTCACAACAATCGAATGCACAAATTCAATGGACTTAAGATCATTTATGAGGGTCACGCCAGGGCTAAAACCAACTTATTTTCTTACTTCAGGGCTTGCTGCATGGGATAGTTTCTGGTGCTCGTTTCGAATTTATTGATAACAGGAACCGCATTATACAGCTTTCATGAACTTCTAGGAGGTCAGAGAAGATTGCTGACTTAAAGTGACGCAGGTCAACATTTTGTTTTTAGTAGCATACTGCCTACCGTAATCTGTCGCTTATTTATTCAAGTACAGAGCTCAAAGCAGTCGTATGATTTTGGTTACCATGGCCTTCAGAAGGCCAAACAGGGTCACCGCCCTGAAATGAGTGCTTGACCTTTTGCTTAAAACAGCTATCTAGGTTCTTGGGGCACTTTGGAGACCAGCCTAGAGCTTGACATCATTTTACCCCATTTAAACCTGAGGTCATGACCTAGGACCCTCAAATCTGCACCTAATTGAGTCTACGTACAGGCCAACACACCCTGTGAATTTGTCGTCTAGCTTTTTTAGTTCCTGCGATCTCAAAGGGGTCAAACTAACACCCACCCGAGCGAAGGGTATCCAACCGGACACCCGGGCGCGTGTTCAACTATGGGCTCAAGCAAGACGTCCCAGGAACTGGTAGCATTTAACCATTTTTCCCGCGCGGCGAGTCAAATCTTTCCACCTTTCTCAAATCAATCCATCTCTAGTCAAATCTTTCTTTCCAAATCTGTGTTGTTTTTTGCTTGCCGGTCCTAAACCTTTGCCAAATCTATACAAAACTTTCTGACTTCATGTTGCCCGATGTCGGAGACATCGGTCGCACTTGCGTGCGCTGCTTCCGGGCATGCGTTTTTTGTTTTTGGCGGTATTCTGTTCCAGCGGAGTACCAAATGAGATGTGTGGCAAACTTACGTTGCATTTTGAGGCAAAACAGAGATCGTAGGTCCATTTATGTGCTCAGAAAAGCTGGTACTACGCTGCTGCCTTTCTTGCAGATTTCTTGCTTGGCACGTGGCGTTTGCGGATATCGATTTTTTCCATAATGCGTGTATTGCGTCAGGTTAGTAAGCAAAGAGGTTTGCCATGGGCTGCTCCAGTCTCTCGTATCTCGGGGATCATCTGGGCTGCCTAAGACTAAATGAAAGCAAACATGCGGTAAGCTTCTGCGGGCGGATCGGGCCGGGCCTTTCACAGGGGATCGGGACAGATCGAGCCGGGCCTTTCACAGGGGATGGGGACAGATCGGACTGGGAGCGGGACGGATCGGACCGAGCCCCCCACAGGGGATCGGGACAGATCGAGCCGGGCCTTTCACAGGGGATGGGGACAGATCGGACCGGGAGCGGGACAGATCGGGCCGAGCCCCCCACAGGGGAGCGGGACAGATCGGGCCGGGCCTTTCACAGGGAAGCGGGGCAGATCGGGCCGGGACTTTCAAAGGGGAGCGGGGCAGATCGGGCCGGACATTTCACAGGACAGCGCGGTAGATGTCGCCAGGCCTTTCACGTCTGACACATAAGTAAAGTTTGCGAATAGGGAAAATTTAGTACCACGATTCATACATGTCGGTAGCCATTTATGATGCTCGAGTTGCAGTTGTGGCAGAGCTGAAAATATCGCCCTCGTGAAATGGGGGTGCCCGTAGTGCAGTTCACCGCGCGTCTGGGAAACCGGGGGTGCGGGGTTCGACTCCCCGCGGTGCCCGCCCCTCCTGCCAGGGTGAGAGGCAGGCGACGCCAAATAGCCTCAGCTGCTGAGTGCGTCGTAAAGCCTCAATGGCATGACATGGCATGGCCTGCGTGAAATCATGTGCGGCGCAGGTTTCGCGCTGGCGTGCCGTCTGAACTTGTTTAGTCACAAGGAAAAAATGTGTAGCAGCCGCCGTAGATGTTTATTTATTCAGGAATCTGGGTGGGTCCGGGCGAGGAGGTTTGCACGCGGCAGTCGCATGACCAATCGCTGGGATCAGCACGTTCACAGCGATCTTGGAGCGCTGGGTGCTGGGTGCCTCAGACGGACAGGAGCTTGCAGTTCGGTATGTTGTCATTGTGCCACGGCGAGAAAGGTGTGGGCACATTGGTTGTGGCACTTTTGATGAAGGCTTTTTATGTAATTACCCAATGAAAGTTAGGTTTTCAGCTTTCAGCTTGGTATGTGCATGGGATGTGGTATGGTTAACTTCTCATTCTATTCAGGTATGATTCCATTAAGTGTTCCAAAGTACCAACTTGCATTTCAGTTGAGTATGTTCTCTGAATGTATCTCAATATGTTTTTGTCATCATTGTGAGATGTAATGTTTTATTTGCATAATGCAATTTCCACCTGGATGTGACACAAGCCTTCCTAGTTTGGTGTGTTACCCATTACTAATTTGGAATCCATCTCAGAATGTTCTTCAAAATGTTCAAAATCCATCACAAAATATCAGTCCCCAGTGCATGGAATGGCTGGCTTGGTAAGCAGTGTCACTATTATTGCAAAGAGGACACCATTTGACAAAGCAAAGTTGGTTTACCAGAGACAAACACACATAGATCATGTCAGTTATGAACATTGTAGTCAATGGGCCAGCAAAGCTTGATGTTTTTACCTTGGGCCGCCTTTGAGACTGTATATCATGATTAATACTAATTATATGATTCTCATACACTAGGTCATGGTCACAACTTGAATTTAATGCAATACATATGATAACACCTGTTGCAAAAGTCACTGTATGAGGCCTAAGTCAACAGTATACTGTAAATTCAAAATCTGATTTTGGATGTTGAAATGCCCCACGGAACTGGGGTATTTCAGGCTCGATATAATGTACACCAGTACAGCTGTCTTTGGTAAGTAATAACCCCTCCATTTTGTTATAAGAAAAAAAGGAGAGACTAAATAACTGATGAAACCTGTGAGAGGCCAATGTTCTGACCTTGCGTGATAGACCAACACCATTTCTTCACCATTTGATATTGCTTAGTTGATGTTGATCCTTGCAGAAGATAGTGACCTTGGATTAGGTCAAAGGTCACCAAAAATGCCCCAAACCAGACAGATCAGGTTGCAGACAACCACACACCTTGAGCCTATCAGGTAGCTCACTACCAAACCTTAACTACTTGATCCATCAAAGTCAACAATCTATCCTACTGTCAAAACTTGGTGATCTTGGGCAAAGTCAAAGAGCATTAGAAATGCTCAAAACCACCAATATGAAACTCAGACAACCCATTATGGACTGATTATGCCTATGGGACTGATAAGCCCAAAACATGCACCATGCTCAACAACATATCCTGCCCAAGAAAATGATGACCTGGGATTGTATCAAAAATCACCTGGAGAGTGCCGCAAACCACCGGCATTGGCTACAGACACCTCCATGCTCCCATCCTATGAGACAGATCAATGCAGAAATAGGTCATGGTCCATTGCCTGCCCTTTCCATAACATGGTGATTTTGGCCAGGTCAAAGGTCACCAACACTGCGTGAAGCCAACATAGAATAGTTTTATTATGGCATTTGACTTAACTCTTGGTCACCATCTTCTGGATTTGATACGTTATCGACCATCGCTCAACAATTTGGAAGTTTTCGTGTCAATCAGTCTCAAAGGCTTGAAACATAGGGTTGCCTGCTGCCCCCTCTTATGAGTGTGGCCTAGGAACAGCTGATAACACCTGTCTCACATTAAGGAAAAAGTTTCACTGCAAACCTCAGCATCATATTTTCAGGTGATTCCCATTGCGAGCCACAGGCGATTTTTCCGAACACTGACCTTTTCGAATCGGATTAGTGTTCGGAGTGGGACGGAACATAAAACCGCAAACGCCACGGCGTCCGCTGAACCTTTTAGTTAAACTTGTGCGCGTTTTAAGCTTCTAGGGATTTCTGGGAACGGCGATAAATTTTATATTTGTGTAGGTATGAGTGTTAAACAAATCAAGTGCGAAAATGTCCCGACAGAAGCGAGCATATATCCATCATCACTTAGGCAAATGTATTCCCCACTTTTCGTTTGAAGGTTGTACAAAATACCTTATGTAATTTGCTGCACGATGCTATTTAAGAAATAGCTGCCTAGTGAGGATAGCAACTGTGGCATGCGCCTGTGGTTTGGAAGGCCTGCAATAAAAGATCCTTTCGGTGCCGTTTTAAGGTCATATTTTTATTTTTGCACTCCAAATACATTTTTTTCTCTCTTCAATCCAGGAAGTCAAACCAGACATGCAATATTCAGGCACAATGCCACATCGTCGCCCCAAAATCAAACTCGACGTACGTGATATTTTGTCCGTTATTTTTTAGAGCCATGGCTGATGTGAAGCCGCTGCCCAAGTCGGCCGAGGTGGTGCGCACAGTGGAGATGCACACGGGCGGCGAACCGCTGCGGATTGTCGTGTCGGGCCTGCCGCCGATAGTGGGCGCCACGTTGCTGGAGAAGCGGCGGTACTGCCGGCAGCAGTTGGACCACTACCGGCGCCTGCTGATGGCAGAACCGCGCGGACACCGGGACATGTACGGCGCCTACCTCGTGGCGCCCGACCACCCGCAAGCGCACATGGCCGCCCTCTTCCTGCATAACGAGGGCTACAGCACTATGTGTGGTCACGCCATGATGGCGCTGGCCCGCTACCTGGTGGATGAGGGTGTGGTGGCGCGCGACCCCGCCGGCGACACCGAGGTCAACATTCAGTGCCCATGCGGTCTGGTGCGCACGTGGCTCGGCGCCGACAACATGGTCCGCTTCCTGTCCGTGCCGGCGTTCGTGCTGCAGGCGGACCTGCGGCTTCCGCTGCCGGACGGCGGCACCTGTCGTCTGGACATCTGCTACGGTGGCGCCTTCTACGCGTTTGTGCGCGCGGCGGACGTAGGCCTGAGGGCCGGCAGCTCGGCGGCAGCTGACTTCGTGCGCGAGGCCGCCCGCGTCCGCCGGCACGTGGCCGAGGTCGGCGTGACCGTGCGCCACCCGGAGAGCGACGACCTCGGCTTCCTCTATGGAGTCATCTTCGGCGACTTCGGGCCGCTGTCGGGGGCGGGCGCGCCGCCGCCGGACGCGCTGACGCTGGTGACCGTGTTCGCCGACGGCCAGCTGGACCGGTCACCGTGCGGCTCGGGTACGACCGCATGCTGCGCGCTGCTGCACGCCGTCGGCCGGCTGCCGGCCGATCGGCCTTGCACGTTCCGCAGCGTGACGGGCGCCGAGTTCCGGGCACGTGTGGCCAGCACAAGCGAGTTCCACCAACACCAGGCAGTGGTGGTGGAAGTGGCCGGCCGCGCCTTCTACACGGGCCGCGGCGAGTTCACCTGCGAGTCGGACGACCCGCTGGCCGCCGGCTTTCTGGTCCTCTGAGGGGGGTGGGCAGGTGGTCCCAAAGACCATGGTAGCGGTGACCTGTGGGTACGAGGTCGATCCTATTCACGAGGGGCTGGTTTGTCTTCATGGCGTGGGGCGTCAGCGGGCAACGCCGTTTGACCGTTTGGAGCGTGAAGTGGCGTCGAGCGTTGCCGCGCAGGGACACCTGCCGCCATTTTGAAATCAGCGAGGGTTGTTCAGCATTGGTGCTCAGACTGATATGACCGCGCTCGGGCTGTCACAATATTACATGTTATGGTGAGCTTTTGGGTTTGTTGCGGAACACTTTTGTAGTTTAACGCGCTTCACACTATAGTTAATGTGATGGTTGCGGGATTGTACGCACGTGCTCAGTTAAGTTTTTTTCCAAAACCGTGCTGTTGCTGAATGTGAACACACGCTTTGCCTTGCTGCATTTCAAATGGTTACTGACACGTAGTCATTTGAAATCAGTCAGTTTAGGTGAGATGGAGTAACTCCCCACTTGACCTTGTGTTCAATGTTAATGTTTAGTCTTGCCAGATCAGGCTTTACGATAGATGCAGGGGCGCAGCCAGAGCCTCGGCAAGGTGGGGGCGCACGGTTGACACACGGCCCCCTCATGCTAAAAGGGCCTCCGAATCAAAAGCGGTGGATGTGGTCCATTTGTCATTGGGGCCATGATCATATCCACGTTTTCTTGGATATTATATATATATATATATATATATATATATATATATATATATATATTAAAGATGGTTCACACAAAATTACCCCATAAATTCGTCGCTCTTTACATTCTTACGTTTTGAGATCCTATCTCATGGTTGGAGAATACCCAATGACGCAAGGAGTCAGTTTTGAGTTTTGAAGGATAAAACTTGTGCACTTATATTGGAAAACTTCTTTTGGCACGGGGAACACAAGTGAAGCATGGCGAACTGAAGTAAGACAGCATTATATTTTCACTTGATACAGATAAAATACACTCATAATGGCAACACTACAAAGACAAACATATTGCCACAATCCCATCAACAGTGCTCGCCGCCCACCACCAAAGTTATGAGAAACAGCCCAGGCAAACCCGACAAACTAAAATGCATCAATGTAGTGTATCAATTCAAATGCAATGTCGAAGGGTGCAAACTTCGTTCCATACTCTGCACTTGTGTGACCACGACACAACGCCTGACAATGCATTTACGTGACGGGGCACCTCTGGACCACGTGCAACACGAACATGACGAGACATTGACGCAACAGCTGACAAGCGTCACTGACATTTTACGGACGTACAATGACAGACGACGCCTTAAAATTTGGGGAAATGTTTTCATTAACGGACTCTCTCCAGCCCAAAACATGTTAACAAAGGCATGCTTAGGGATGTTTTAAGGTATGTATTAAGGTATGTTTTAGGTGGCAGAGCCATGTATGTAATTTAGGTACGTATGTACCTACTGGCATCAATGCCAGTGGGTATGAAACCTGAGCGATCATGGGTGCCGCAGGAGGCGAACAAACAGGCTCCCGTCAATAAGTATAAGGTCCTCGCAGCAAACGAAAATAACTAAAGACCAACGTGGTGGGCCCCTGAACGATCGGTAGTGTGCGAGTACCGAGTATAGCGCGCGAGTAGTGGTATCTAGACCGAACGGTAGATGACAGAGCGTCTCGCGGAGTACGGAAATACAGTCTAGTTCCGACCGCCGACTCGTGTGCACCCCCGCGGAGACAGACTCGAACAGGTAGTGTATCGACAGACTGACCTATGAAGCCCCGGTCATAGCATGGGACCCTCTGAGCAAAGGGGAATTATTCAAGACTACAGCTTAATAATCCTGTGCAATCAAGAGTGCACGGGCAGGTTAACGACACGGGTCTGGATAGGAGTGAAAAGTCGGCCGCAAATGAGACCAAAGGGAGAGAGCCCTCGATAAAAGAAGAGGGCCCCTGACCATCGAGCGTCTCTGCGCCTTACCTTATAAGAGCCCTAGCAACGGCGAAACCCCTTCCAACAGCACATTGGGCCCTGCGAAAAAATGGGAAGAGGTCCAGGGTAACGTGGAAAGCTCCTTAGCGATCAGGTTGATGCAGCAAGTGGACATATAGGAACAGGCAACCAACAGCGTAACGTCTCTAGACAGCGTAATGAGCCCGAAAATTTCCCCCAAGCAACACTCGATCAGCGAAGAATGAACTTCGTTTACCTATGAATTCTACTTTTGCCAGCAATGGTTCTTGGTCATTTATAGGCCCAAATGCATCCAAATTTGTTGCGCTTTTGTTGTAAGGAAACTGCGTCCGTCTGGCCGGTTATGGGCTCCTTCGGAGCCTTTAAGCCTTCCTGGGGGGGGGGGGGGGGGGGGCTTAAGCCGAGGGAGCCTTTCCTGGGCATGGTCCATGGAACATGTGGCCCCGTGCCTCCCCCCATCCGCCCCCCCCCCCCCCGCCCTCTGCATCCGCCACCCGCCCGAGCAGCTCAATGAAGGGCCCGCTAAGAATATGGGGCCATCCATTCAAATGAGAAATACTCACGACGCCTTGTGTAGGGCTCTGAACGATCGAGTGCGCTAGAACAGGATAACATATAGAGCCTCCGTCAAGAGCTTGGGGCCCTCTATTAAAATGGGAAGTATTCAAGACCCAGTGTAGAAGGCCCCCGAATGATCGAGTGTGCCCGAGCAGGTTAACAGATAAGGCTCCCAAAAAGAGCGTAGGACCCTCCATTCAAGTAGGAAGCATTCGAGACCCAATGCAGAGGACCTTTGAATGATCCAGTGTATCAGAGCAAGTAAACATATAGGGCCCGGTAAAAAGAGTAGGGCCCTCCATTCAAATAGGAAACACCCAAAACCCAGTGTAAGGGGCCGCCGAATAATGGAGTGTGCCCGAACAGGTTAACAAATAGGGATCCCAACAAGAGCGTAAGGCCCTGCATTCGAATGGGAAGCACTGGAAATTCTAAGTAAATGGCCCCAGAATGATGGAATGTGTCCGAGTAGCGTATCGGAAGGAGCCCGACAAGAGCGCAGGGCCCTTCATTCAGATAATAAGTATTCAAAACCCAGTGCGGAGGACCCCCGAAAGATGGAGCATACCCGAGCAGATTATCAGGTGACCCAGACGGGGGTGTAGGGCCCACAAGACATAATGTGGAGGGCCCCCGGATATTCGGGTGTGCACGAGCGAGTTAACAGGTAGGGCCCTGGCAAGAGCGTACGGCCTTCCGTTCAAATATGAAATACCCTTGACACGATGTAGAAGGCTACGAATAATCGAGTGCTCCGGAGCAGGTTAACAGAAAGGGCGCCCAAAAAGCTCGGGGGCCCTCCATTCAAAAAGGAAGCATCCAAAACCAGATGTAGAGGTCCCCCACGATCGAATGGGCCCGAGCATCTGATCAGATGGGGCCCCAACAGGAGCTTAAGGCCCTCCATTCAAATAAGTACCGTAAAACCTATGCGCCCGAAAAACCCAACCCCGAAAAATCTAGTGTACCCGAACAGGTTGTCAGATGACCCCGATACGGGCAGAGGGCCCCAAACTCAAACACCGAGAAACAATGTGCTGGGCCCACCAGCAATTCAGTGTGGCCGAGGAGGTGAACGGAGGGGCCCCCGACAAGTGCGTAGGGCCCATTCAAATAGCACGGGCCTAAGCCCAGATATAGAGCCTCCCCCCCCCCACCCCCGAACGATCGAATGTGCCCGATCAGGTTATCAGACAGCCCCTCCCCCCCCCCCCCCACAGAAGCGTAGGCTCCCCATTCAGAAAAGAAGTACCAAAAACCCAGTGTAGACGGTCCCCGAACGACCAAGAGTGCGCAAGCAGGCCATTAGATGGGCCCCCGACAAGAGTGTAGGGCCCTTAGCAAGTGACAGAGAATTGGAAAACGCCCTAGACCAATGTAGAGGAACCAGGGGCATATCGCAAGTGTGCCGGTAAGTTAATCGATACTCACGTAAAAGGCCCCTGAGCAACCGAGGATACCCCGGCAGGTTAAGGTATGTGACTCTGGCTACTGCTCACAGTCTTTATGGCAAATGGAAATAATCTGCGGAAGGACCCGTGATTGACAAGAGTTACCCGACACGCCAACAGGAAGGACCCCAGCAACAGCTCAGGGCCCTCTGAGCAAATTGCGTGACTGCTAAACTTTACAGCACGAGTCATCTCTGGGCGTCAGAAATACGATCATGTGAGCGATATTTTACGAGGTCTCGAGTGGATGTTTGCTGACAACATGTTCTTATATCATGCACCGACACTTCTGAAACATATCCTGGAAAGATCCCAGCCGGAGTCGCTATCTGATCACCTTGTCCATGGACGCCACGTTCACCATCGCACAACGAGGCAGGATGATATGCGACATGTGCCGGTGATCAGATCCGAATCGGGAAGGCGGCGTTTTGCTTACCCCACCGTGACCGACTACAGCGCACTACCGCAGAATATTCGCCAGCTGAGCCTTCCACAATTGAAACGCGAGTTGCGTAGTCACATCCTGCAGCGGCAGATCAATAACGGAGAGCGACGCGTACTTCCAATGTCTTTAGCGAATGTGAGAGAGTGCGTTCTGCGTATATGTGCCTGCGTGTGTACGTGTTTGCGCAAGCCTCCCTGACCTACAGTGTTTTATTTCCATGACACGGGATCTGTAATGGCCACATTCTGAGTGGAGTGAGCTTATGACGTGTAATAAGTAAATAAATAAATAGATAAATAACTAAATGCAAAAAAATGAAAGACAACGGGAAATGCTCCTAAACGACCGAAATGAATCTGTCAGGGGCATATAGGTCCCCCGGAAACAGCATGTGGCCGTAGACGGTATAATGAGGCTTAAAATTTCCAGTTCACAACTTTTCCAATCATTGAGTAGTTTTTGGGACTTCTCATAGGTCCTTCACTTTCGCTTACAACTGTTCTTAGTGACCTGAAATTCCAGAGATACCTAGTTTTATGGCATTTTGTGTTAAAAAACTGCACCTGTTCGGCCGGCTACGGCCCCCCCCCCCCGGAGTCAGTGGGCCCCTTCGGGGCCCGGGGGGGGGGACATGCCACGCGGTCCCCCTCTCTGGATCCGCCCCTACTTGTCACCGTACGTTTTTGGGGGGATACTTTTGTTATTTTCCACTTTTTCCCCTCCCCGAACTCAGTTTGCCCTTGATGTTGGACCGTCGTGGGGAGAAAGTGATTGATCATAAGCCTGAAGTGTCATTCAGGTGACCACGACGAAATCTCAAATGGGAGCACCGTAATCCGATATGAGACCCGAAGGACTGGCTAAAGGTCACTGAGGGGGCGCGGGTCCGACCCTCAGATACCAGCCAGAGGGCCCGTTGCACCGATTGGGCCCCGGTCTGGGCTTGGGAGCCCATTTCCCAAGCAGGGACAAGGTCAGGGCTCGCGATTTACATTGGTCAGTGCACCCCGCGCCAATGAGCGGCCCCTGTGTCGGCCAGGGGCACACAGCGCCTAACCGGAGGTCCGGTGTTGATAAGGGCCCCTGAGTTGGTCAATGAGTGTACGAGCGTGCCTGAAGAGGGACCGATGTGCCCTTCAAGACTGACGATAAACGGGCTGATGGGAATGCTGAATGGCCGAAAGTGTCGAAAGGCTGCAGGTCATCCTGGCCCGCATGACTGGGATTCCAGATGTCGGCCAAGATGCCTCTTTCGCCGACTGTGGACCCCTGGGACAGTGCGGACACCTATTTCGGCCGGAGACCACGACACCGAATAGCTGACTCCGTGTTGTTCTGAATCCTGGGGCCCCATTCCTCTAGCAGGAACGAGACCGAGGCTCACGATTTGCATTGGTTGGAGTCCCTACAACAGTGAGTGGTCTTTTGACGGTCAGGCCCCCAGAGTGTCCAACAGGGGGTCCTGTGACGAAAGGAGTCCCGAGTTGGTCAGAGGTGACCCGCGCCCTTGCGGGGCTCTTCACCCCGTTTTAGTCAAGGGTCCGTTGGCCAAACATGGGTCTCTGTGCCAGTTATTGGATCACCTGCGGTTATTAGCGATCTTGCTGCCCCAATGAGGGCCCTTGCGCGTATTCCGGGTCAAATGCCCCAGCCAGAAGCCGCCAAAGGGTTTTCTGCGCCAGGGAGCGCACCAATGTAGGACGTACATCTGTGGGGGCCTCCGGACGAACCCATCAAGCGAACCTGCCTCCATGTCGCCAGAATGGCAGCTGGTAGACACCCCGGATGGAATGATCTTTAAGCAATTGCCCGGAAGGTTCGTGTGCGCCTAACTTTTCACTAATGTTTACACATTTTGCACATTACATTACACACAATATTCACACATTACGCACTTTCAATTAATGTTTACACAAGTCGATAGCCTCATTTAGATTTACGGTCAACCTTCACGGGATCCTCAATATCTCTGTAGGACGTAGACTCCCTCCCTTTGGAGGGACGGAGTCCTCTTTATCTTTAGTCCTCCCTCTGGCATTAGAAACTATGCTGCTGTCCTGTATGGAGAGTGCAAATTAGAATTCATTCCGCCTAGAAGTGAAGCGAGCTGGCATCATCACGCCACGCCGATAGACCATGAAACCACCCATTTGGCAGCGGCCGTCGTCGGGACCCGAACCCGGGCTCACCGCGTGCGAGAGCAGCATGCTACATGCAACATGCTAACCATCCATCTACTGGAGATGTGGGTCCGGCGGCCGAAAATTTGTGATCCGAATAGGACTGGTTCAGAGTGAGTTGATGGATTTCGTGATCGTTTGATGCCTATCACGCATAGAGAAGACTTTTCGCACGGGATTCCGCATATTTGGACTTGCTTCCCTCTAAGACTGGCAATCCGTGTATGCTTCACACGCACAACCATCTGAAATATTTTTGGAGGGTGTATAAGCCCGTTGCGTAGCCACCCTGCATTTTGGAGGATGTGTAAGCCCGTTGCGTAACCACCCTCCGTTTTGGAGAGTGTATACGCGCAGTCTACAAATCATGTGACGTAGTTTTGAGCATGCGCGCTCGCTCACCTTGCAACAAAAAACTCGACCCCAGGGGTTGCAGTCTCTTTGGGCT